GAGCGTTCCTTTTTATGATCTTGAGAATTTAAAGAACATTCTGGCAAAATAATAATATTAATAGGAGCATAATCTGAAACGTGAAAGCAATTTTAGTTGAACGGTGGTTAATCGTACGCATTTATTACTCCTACCTCTGCAGTGTCGCTATCTTTATTGATGCAGGAAGATCAATACAGGGGTTGTACCGAACTTAAACGCTCCCGCGTCTGTGCTTTACCAACCCCCGGCACTGACCAGCGTGGTGAAGAATCGTCAAATTAACTCCCTCCGTTTTGCGAAAAGTATCCCCGAACGGAAGAACCGCGTTGCAGTACGTAGAGCGAGAAAACGCGCTATGTGAACTCGCGTTAAGAGAGGACTCGACGCACATCGGGAAACGCAATGGGGGGGGGGGGGGTGGAGGGGGGTGTCTCGCCGCCTCGCGGTCACATCTCGGTATTGCGCGTAGCGCGAAGCACGTGCAGAGGTCATGCGGGCATCATTTACCATGGGCACTCCGGGCAGCCTGGCTGGTATCCGATACGTCTACAGGCAGACGAGTGTACATTTTTAAGATGCTCGTGCAGGTGATGGAGAGCTGAAACGTGGCATAAAGTATAGCCGAGTCTACCCTTAAAATTAGGAAAATTTCAATGAGAAAAACACAAATTTCTTGGTTTCTTGACTGACTGACTGCCGTGCAGGTCGTGGGGGTTATTCACCACCCTGGTCACTGCTTTATTTATGTCTATATTTATATATTGAAAAAAATCCTACCAGGTAAAGCCCACTGAGCTATTTTTCAGAGGAGAACCGGCTACACATGATAGCTCATCGAAGTGGCTTATATTGCCATCATCACACGTGGGGATTTATAGCAGCAGACAAATATTGTAAACGCGCATTGTTTCTAAATGTGGGGGAGGAGGATGAGGGCAGAACCGGAGGAACCCGGATAAAAATCCACACTGGGACCACCACGGGGAGAGAGAGGGAACACGTGGACTCCAAATATATCGTGCTTCAAAAAAATGTTAACACTTCGGAGAATTTGCAACATTACCACGACAAATGTGTTTTGAAGACCACCTGGAGAACATTCCAGACATGTGTTGACAATGATGGCGAACAAGTGGAGACTCTTTGACTTTTTGAAGCTATTAACATTACATTTGTTATGACGTTAACAGTGAATTTTCCGTTTCTTTTTCCCTTAAAAACGACAGTCCAATGTAAGTGTTAACATTTTATTGAAGCACCCTGCATACAGCAACAGGCATTATCAGGGTCCGGTAATAATCGAACCCACGTCCCTCCTGCGCGCCAGGCGATGGAGATTCCGTCTCCATTCCGCGTGCGAGTTGCTGGAAGGGATGGGTGGGTGGGGGAGGCAAGAAGGGAGCTTTAGGTGATCGATGTTTTGGTCGGCCCAGACATGTGGCAGCCGTGGGGCTTGCGTTGATTTCACTGGAAGCGCGGCAGGGCCAGCCTCAGGTGCCAACGTCGCTACCAAGTGATATCGTGTTGAAGATTTCAATGCAAAAAAAGTTTGTAACTCACCACACTGTCTTTAACATTGCCCGAACAGCAATGTGTATATATATATGGACACACGCAATGTGTGTCCATATATATATACAATAAGCAACGCTTCTGTTAATACTCCTTTTAAGCACTATACGATCCCATCACCAAGTGGACCAAGAACTTTGCCTGGCGTGCAGTGTGACGTTGAAGCCAGAAGAAAGCGCGAGGCGACCAATCAGTGCCGTAGTTGCCTTGCGGTTGAGGGGGGGGGGGTGCTGGACTGGAGGGGACTCACCACCACCCCTACACCCCCAATATCAACACCCCCCAAATCGCCACTAAGCGACGGTGACGTCACCAAGACGCCCGTGCCAGGCCAGGTGCACTTTGAGGGCATCGTGATGCGTCGAAGGTTTCGCTAACAGGAGGAGGTCTTGGGACAGACCCAGCATGTGCCATGGGTTGGCTGACTGAGATGACCGGTAGATGCACCACCAGCTGTACCCCCACACTGTGCCAACTCGCTGTATTATATCCGCCAGGCGCTCCGCTTGTTGTTGTGAGCATCGCTCCTCTGCCCTCCGTTGTTGCTGGAGGGCGACTGCCTCCCCCTACCCCCAACACCTCTTTTTAAATCCTCAGTTAATTCCAAAAATGTTGGTGCGGTGTTCAAGATGAGAGAGTTGAGCGCGAGGGAAGAACGCCTGGCCCGAGCCGCGTCAGATCGTATCGCGACCACAATTCCGTTCGGCGTTTAGCGTTAGGGTCCAAAGAAATGTTAAACGGTGACCGTGCCTCGTGGCCTGATCTGTCGTCGATTGCTAAACAATGACCGTGCCTCGTGGCCTGATCTGTCGTCGATTGTTAAACGTTGACCGTGCCTCGTGTCCTGATCTCTCATCGATTGTTAAACGTTGACCGTGCCTCGTGTCCTGATCTCTCATCGATTGTTAAACGGTGACCGTGCCTCGTGGCCTGAGCTCTCGTCGAGTGTGCAGGCGGTGCGGCTGCTCTGCGGCCCGCGGTCTGCTATGGGCCCAGGCGCCGGGCTACGCAGAAAGGGGGGGGGGCGTGCATTAGATGGGGGGCAGAAGTTAGGGGGTATTTCATTTCATGCACCGGAAAGGGCCAATGCCGACCACGTGACGCCAATGGTTCCCATGGCGACTTCCTCGCAACTGACATTGATCTGTTTCCCTTTGTCGCCTTCTTCTTCTTCCTCTTCTCCAAAATAAGTCGAGCAACTTTCACCCAAAACGGAACGATGCCGCTGTAGCGGCCGCCGGTGGAGTCTTGCGCTGTGAAGGAATGACGATTTGTGTGTGTCTACCACATATCTGTGCTCATAACCGCTGGCGATTCAACTAAATCTGTCACACGCGGTTAAATTGTAATTACCCCCCCTCCCACCCCCACTTAGTGACGTGAATTATCAGTGAATGAAAGTATGTCCGCGATTGGATGGAATCACGCGAGGGACCACGTGGAGATCGTGTCCCCGTAAAACTCACGACGCCCTAGTTACGTTCAACAGCGTATGAGGGGCGTGCACGTGGTTGCCCTTCATCCCGTCCACCCAGAGGGGCACGTGTTTTTGTTTGATGAATTTTTAATTCGTATCATCGACTTTCCTGAGCCTCGGCCCTAAACGAGAAACTCGCTGCTGTCTTTATAAATATGAGCGCGGTGTGGAAAACATCAGCACGAGGGAGACAAAGGCGGCCGGTGGTGGTTGTGGGCACAACCACCGGCTGATGCGCCGTGTCGGCCTAAACAAGGTCTTCAATATCTTTGTCGTGGAATATATATAGTTAACTTATATTTGTTGGGGGGGAAAAAAACCCACATTATTTAGCACAGCTGTGAGCCAGTTGAATGTACACACACTCCCGTCTCCATCACAACCACGAGTCAGTCATCCAAGTCACGACACGGACCCATTGCCGCTCCCCCACACCCCCCCGTGCACACATTGAGCGTCGAAGTGACATGGAGTTCAGTTACCGTATTCTCTTGATTACGGAGTACTCCGTAAAGTAAGACGCGCCCAAAGCTCGTGCACTGTGTCAATAGAGTTGCAGTGTACACATTGATTCACACACACGCACACACCTCCTTCCCCCCGCACCTACGATGAACACGGTTGGCTACGTACGACGTCGAACGAAGAAGTTCAACATACGTACGTGCCTACCTACTCCGTACGTGCCTACCTACTCCGTACGTGCCTACCTACTCCGTACGTGCCTACCTACTCCGTACGTGCCTACCTACTCCGTACGTGACTACCGGAGTATAAGACGCACCTCCATATGTTGCTATCGCAGTTACTCTTCCCTGCCGATTTTGTTGTTACATTTGCGTCTTAGAGGTAACCAAGGAATGTTTTCCAAAATCTCATAAAACTATTCCCGGCTCCAAAAAAAAAAACAAGAAGAAGAACTCAGATAAAGAATAGAGCTTGCAAAAATCCCCGTTGGATTGGCGTGATGGCGAGACCGTGTCTTTTTTTTTCCTCTCTCACTCTAAATGGTTTTTTGTTGGAGCCGCTGGCTCAAACGGATGTAGACGGCTGCGTCACGCTCGCGAGAGACATCGAGAGACAAACGCACAACTACTCTGGGTTATTAAACTTTTTTTGTTGTTGTCATTTTGTCGTCGTCTTCCAAACGCCGCTGTTTCATTCCCATCGCGCCACCGTCGTGCCACGCTTCCGCGACAATTTCCGACCTCGGCAAGAGACAGCCGCATCGCCGCCTGTTCGAGGAACGGCCCGCGGAAGCAGATACCACGAAACTGCTTCTGAGATCCATAACCCCGCTCCTCCCTCCCCCCAATCCATCACATTACCCCCCCCCCCCCAGCCTCCCTCCCTCCGCCACTCTTTCCCCGAACGCGCTCCTCCCCACGCAGCCATGAATCGCGCTGCGTGTCAGCCCGTTTCGTCTCGCTGCTTTAGGCTTCTAACGAATGAATGGAGACGAAGCAGGGACAATGTCTTCGTCTTGTATCTGTCTCTACACTTTAGTAGCGGTCATGGGGGGGGGGGGGTCGTGGTGGGGAACAGTGGTGCAGTGGGTTAGCGCACTGCGCTACAACAACAAAAATCGATCACCCGATTTCAATTCCCGCTCACTGCCAACATTCGTGGCGACAATTTGAATCCGTCCTGAGCCTCCCCTTTCTCGATTCATCCTCAAATGAGTACCTGGTGCGGTGTGTACACGTCGCCACTGGGGAGACAAAGACGGTCCGGCGTGGTGCTGGCCACCTACCCCCTCGTGTGCCGTGTGCCGACCTTTATAGGTGCTGCTCGCTAACAGCACTTGCCCCAAGTCTGTTAAAGGCTGTACGGGGGATCTTTGTCTTTGAGGTGGTGGTGGGGAGGGGAGAAAAAGGTGGTAGAGGCGGGGGGGGGGGGGGGTTGGGTGGGTGGGGGTGTACGTGACGTCACGGTGTGAGGGGGGGGTGGAGGTTTCTTATCCGAGCCACTCTCGCGTTCCTCTCTCATCCCGGGCGCGCGCTGTTGGTGCGCGTGCGTGCGCGTGTGGGTGTGTGCGCGCGGGGCTCCACGTGACACCTTCTCCCGCGATTGAAATCGGCGTGGGAAAAGTTTTATTTTCGAATAGATAAGAAATTCACCATCGTCGTCACCGTCATCGTCTACGATAGCGTCATCGATAGCGTCATCGATAGCATCTACACCAGCATCATCTTCTTTCGGGACATCTACAAATAATAACATCGACATCATCTGCATCGTCTGCTCAAACGAACATCCTCATCTTCATACATATTAATATCGAGCGTATTTAGAATGCCATATACTTCAGTAGCAACATCGACATCATCTGCACTTAATCGCATCGACGTATGTATCGCAACGTCTACATCATCTACATAATCTGCAAATACCATCGACATCATCGACATAAAACATCGACACAGTCTACGTCGTCTCCATTAAACTAGTAGCCACATCATCTACAAACATAATCGATGCGACACAGAACATCTATAAGCCCATATACATAAACGTAATCTGCATACCACCAGCATCACCATTCCCAACATCTGTAACAACATAATTTCCGATTGATGTTGAGATCATTAAATTCAAAGGCCATCTGCAACACCATCATCATCATCGTCGACATCATCTACAACATCGTCTCCGGCAACATCACCAACCTCGACATCTACAGCAGCAGCAACTACATCAACGTCTGCAACATCTAGATCAGCGACAAAAGCAACTCCATCGCCATCAATATCATCAGCAGCAACGATGGAACAATCAATATGAAGTTCATAGACACACTGTAAGCACATCGACAATGTGCTGCGGTCGTGTGTGTGCCTGTACAAGTTTCACTGTTGTCAATTGACAAGATGATTTGTCATCACGATCGACTTCCCGGGATATAATTTATTACATCCACTCCGGATCGCCAGGAGATCTTCCTCGAGCCGACCGCCAGAGAGAGAGAGAGCAACGATTGCCATGGTGGTGATCTTACACGCGTTGTTATCCTGCCGAGAACGACGGTGATGGTGATGATGATCAAGAAGATGATGGGGGTGATGATAGTGGTGGTGGTGCCGAAGACTTCGGAGGTGATGATGGCGATGCCATAGATCCAGAAGACAGCGTGGACGATCACCTCCAGAGTTGTCAACCTTCCATCCTTCGAGTTATCCATCCGTCTATCCATTAGTCCATCTACCAATAACTGCATGCACCTGTTCAGTCTACTCGATCGTATGTTCGTCCATCCTTCCTTCAAGCTAGCCACCCATCGACCTATTCACGCGTCCGTATAGTCGCCATCTATTTATCTAGTCATCCAATCGTCTATGCGTCCACCTATTCACCCGACCAACGGCTCACGTATCGGCGTATATATATGCAGCATATCCGTTCATCTATTGACACACCCATAGATTCACTCACCCATCCATCTATTCATTCGATAAGCACAGCGTCGATTAAACTATTCACCCATCGAACTATTCGTTCCTCTATTCGGCCGCCAGTATTTCCCTGGACACACTAGCGTGTCCACCCCATCCGTTAGGTCGCCTATATCCACCACTACTACATCTATCAACCACTCATCAATTCGTCTCCGAAACAACTCAACCCCGTCCGTTCGCCCATCCGATCACCAACTTCGCGCGTCAACTCATTCAATCGCCTATCCATCGATCCATCTATTTGCCTGCCTATTCGATCACCTCACACCAACACCACCACCAGCTCCTTCCACTCTCATCGGTAGCAGGGTTGCAGAAGTCATTGCTCGGCTCGTCGCCCGCCGGCCCCCGCCCGCGATGGCTTCTCTGGCCGCACTGTGTGTCCTCTGTGGCGCGTTGTGGTCCTCGGTGGGCCTCGCGTCGGCCAAGGGCACGTTCCAGCCCCTGGGATACAACCTCTACTCGTGGGGCTCCGGGCCCTCGCACCCTCCCGGAGTTGGATTCCGGCCCCACAACAAACACAAGTAAATGTTTTTTTTTTATTTAAAGCTTTCGTGACTGCAGTGATTCATATTCTTGGTTCTTTCGGTAAAGTCACGTTGAATTGTTTTATATATTTTTTATTATTTTATTGTTTCCCTTCAACGTGACTTTAGCGAAAGAACCAAGAATATGTTTTTTTTGTTCTTGATTTGAAGCTTTCGTGACTGCAGGAATCCATACTCTTTGGTTCTTTCGGTAAAGTCACGTGGGTATAAAATGAAATAAATCACGACGTTTCGGGCGCAACACAAGCGTCCGTCATCAGATCTCGGGCCAAACATCTGTGTCGTAAGAAAGCATGCTTTCCCACCTGCATGCTTTTCCACCTGATGACGGACTCTTGTGTTGCGCCCGAAACGTCGTGATTTATTTCATTTTATACCCACGTGACTTTACGGAAAGAACCAAAGAATATGTTTTGTTGTTGTTATTGTTGTTGTTTTCTTTGCACGCTCGTATAGCCTCAACGAGATTGTTTGGGCAAGTGCTGTTCAGCGAGTAAGCAACCTACGAAGGCCAACACGGCATGCTAAGGGGGGTGGGGGTTGCAGGCATCACGCCTGGCCGCCTTTGTCTCCCTAGTGGCGATGTTTACACACCGTGCCAGGTGTTCATGTTGAGGCTGAGTCGACCTTAGAGGGAGGCCCAGGACCGGTTCAGATAATCGTCACTGGTGTTGTCCGTGAGCGGGAATCGAACTCGGGTGGTCGGGTTCGTAGCGCTAACCGCTCCACTACCGCTCCCCAAGCTCGTGCAGTCACACACTGCGATGGGATGGGGGGGGGACGAGCTAATATCAGACGCGGATGTAATCTCTCCCACGGTTAGGACAACGTGAATGATCTCGGGCCAAACATCTGTGTCGTAAGACCCAGGCCCTCCGCCACCCGACGACGTCACCGCACATTGGCCGAGGGAGCTCTTACGGCTCGCTACGTTCGCCTGACTCACGGAGAGCGATTGCAAATCGTGAACACTGCCCGCGATTAAAAAAAAAAACCAAAGGTGTTATAAACCAGATATCCGGCCGTGTTGACTCAGCGGCGGAGCAAGAGGCTCGCAATCGTAAAAGGGTCGCGAGTTCACATCCTGGCTGGGGTGTTTTCACTCAGCCCATCGTCTCTTCGGAGTTGATGAAATCGGTAGCACTTTGCGGGGGAGTCAACGGTGGTCGTCCTATGGATAAACTCGCCCCCTTGCCACCGGAACGTGGAATTTCCACTACGGGCTCGGGGCTGCCAACGGTAACTTGAACGCCCTCGGCAATTCTAATCTCAGCAAATCACTTTGGAGCGTGCGGTGCTGTGTAGTTGCGTTGTGGTTACCGAACTGAGCAGTTCAATTCCCGGCCAGGGCTAACATCAAGTGGTGATTAATCTCAACAAGCCATGGGCCTCCCTTAGGTCGACTCAGCCTTAAGTTCGTACTCGGTGCGAATATCAGTACTTGGGAAAACGTGTGCCGTTATGCAGTATTGTATAAACGGTACGAATTCATAATTGCTTCATAGGTTATAGGCCACGTAATGATCTGGTCAAAGCTGTGCCTCCAGCACCCCACAGAGCCACAGGCTGACAGACACAGGTGAAAGTCACCATTGGTTCAACACAGGTAAACTGGTTGTATTGTCAGTGTGCACGCGTGTGTCTTAGGTTAGTAGGGAGCGATAGTGTAGCGGTTAGCGCTACGCTGCGCTATAAACCTGGCGACCCGGGTTCGATTCCCGCTCACGGCCAACACCAGTGACGATTATCTGAACCGGTCCCGGGCCTCCCCTAGGTCGACTCAGCCTCAAATGAGTACCTGGTGCGGTGTGTAAACATCGCGACTAGGCCGCCTTTGTCTCCCCAGTGGAAATGTAATTTCTTTTTTACTCAATTGAGGCTGAGTCGACCTAGCGGAGGCCCAGGACCGGTTCAGATAACCGTCACACAGACACACGCTGATATACAAATATCCCCCATATAGCCTTACCAGACTGTAGGGGCAAGTGCTGTTAGCGAGCACCTATGAAGGCCGGAACGGTACACGAGGGGGTGGGTGGCCAGCACCACGCCCGACCGCCTTTGTCTCCCTAGTGGCAATGTTTACACACCGCACCAGGTACTCATTTGAGGCTGAGTCGAACTAGCGGAGGCCCGGGACCGGTTCAGATAATCGTCACACAGACACACGCTGATATACACACACACAGACATACACACGCACACGAGCACGTGTGCGAATGTAGCGTCACACGCGGAGTTGAAGGCGGAGGCACGTCCAGGGATGAGGAGGAGGAGGAGGAGGCATGAGGAGGCCGTGTCCGCACGGACCCGTGGAGACTGCGATCCCGGGCTGACCCACGTGTAGCTCCCCCCTCTTCATTAACGTCTCTCGTGGCGTAACCACTACCACATGTGCCCGTGCCTCTGTGTGTGTGTGTGTGCCTGCGTGGAGAGCGGTGGCGCAGCGGTTAGCGCGCTGCACTGCGCTACGAACCCCGGCGATCCGGGTCCGTATCGTGCTCGCAGCCAACATCAGTGACGATTATCTAAACCGGTCCTGATCATCCCCTAAGTCGACTTAGCCTCACATGAGTACCTGATGCGGTGTGCAAATATCGCCACTGGAGAGACAAAGGCGGCCGGGCGTGGTGCTGGCCACCCACCCCGTCGCGTGCCGTGCCGGCCTTCATAGGCGCTCGTAAACAGCACTTGCCCCAACAATCTGTGATGCTTACACGGGGGATCTTTGTCTTTGTGTAAGAGGGTATAAGTTTGAACTGGCTTTGGTTCTCCATCATTGATCCTGACGGGCCATTACCACCCCCCCAATCCCCCTCCTTCCTCCCCCTCACTCTCCCCCTCCTCCATCACCACTCCCCCAGACCTAATTACCAATCAGGCAGTCAGTCTGAGGTTACGCAGCCACGCATACTCGGTCGCATACACACACAGTACTGCATACGTACCTGCACGTTCAACGCGGGTCCTTTTTGTTGTTGTCAATCCACCGCTGGATGAGGGCCCTATACCACACGCAGTGCCTGGTCGTGTTGGGGGGCGGGGGGGGAGTTATTTTTGACCATACTTCACCACGCTGGTCGGTGCGGGTGTGGCACGATGGCACAGTTGTGCACCTCGGTGTGTACAGAGGGTGCCTGCAATATCGTGAACACGTGGACGATGGGAAAGCGAGTGGAACGAAAGTTTGCGCAGGGCAGCCGTGTGTGGGGTGGGAAGGGGGGGAGGGCAGGAGCACGGCCGTCGATAATAACCCGAGACTGGGGAGAACTACGCGTGGAGGTTTATAATAATAAAAATAATCATCATCATTTACATTTGTAAAGTGGCGCACTTCATCCGCCGTGTATGGGAAGCCAGAAAATGAACAGGAGCCTGCGGGGTGTGCGGTCAGAGCGAGACGGGCGGTACGGGCCAGGACCCACCCCCCCCCCGTGTAGCCTGCACAGACTGTCGGGGCAAGTGCTGTTAGCGAGTGGCACCTATGAAGGCCCGACACTGCACACGAGGGTGCAGGTTGGCCAGCACCACGCCCGACCGCCTTTGTCTCCCCGGTGACGACGTTTACACACCGCACCAGGTACTCATTTGAGACTGAGTCGACCTAGGGGAGACCCACGGCCGGTTCAGATAATCGTCATTGGCGCTGGTGGCCGTGAGCGGGAATCGAACTCGGGTCGCCGGGTTCGTAGCGCAGCGTAGCGCTAACCGCTGCACCGCCGCTCCCCACACTTACCGAATCACCCACCCCACCGACTCACCCACCCACTCGCTCAGAGCCGGGGTGAAGGCCACTTTAACATAAAGAACACGCCGCAGGGTAGAGGCACCATCGCTGCGACTGTTCAGAACAGTGAGTGGGACTTGTTGTGCAGTATCTATCTCTATGGGTCTATGTGCGTCTCCGTGTGTCTTTATGGGTATATGTGGGTTTAATATACGGCCCATAGTCTGGGCTGTATGTCCATTTGAGTGAAACCAAGTCAGCACCCACACCTTCATTTCTTGACGACCACATTGCCGTCCAATGCCAGGCCACGGCAAACATCAGCGGCGAGTGAATTCTGAACCCGGTGCTGGGGCAAACCCCCTCACCCCTCACCCCCCACCTCCTCACCCCCCACCCCCTCACCCCCCACCCCCTCACCCCCTCACCCCCCACCCACTCACCCCCCACCGCTCACCCCCCACCGCTCACCCCCTCATCTAACAGCGGATTAGCAGAGGGCATGTGTCACATGTCATCTCCGTGTGATGGTGATGCGTTGGTGTGATGTAATGTTTTCGTATGATGATGATTGAATTACGTGATGGTGTAATGATGTGATATTGCGACCACTCACTCACCCACTTCATCCTTTCCTGCGCCTTCTACGGGAACGACGTTGTGATGGTGAAGTGGCGATGGGTGTTTGTATGGAGTGATGTGATGCTGTGGGCGGTATGATGCCGTGGTAGCGTAATGATAGTGCATGATGCGACGATGTAACGATGTTATGGTGTAGTGTGATGCTATTATTATTATTATTATATCACGACATGACGCTGTGATATTACTGTAAGAACCGGTGCGATTATGTGATGATGTAATGCTCGGATGGTATGATGCCGTGATGGTCTAACACTGTGGTGGTGCGACTCCGATAAGCTTCCCGGTACCTCCGATTAGTGCGGCTGGCTACGTACGGTGCGATATAAGTTCAACATATATACATAGGCGATATGATGCTTTGATGGTATGACGCTGCGGTGGTGTGAATATAGGAACTGGTGCGAGCGTGCAATGAAGACGTGACGCCGTGATGGTACGAAGCCGTGACGGTGTGACGCTGTGGTGGTGGTGTGACTCCAGGAACTGGTGCGCCTTCGTGGTGACCAAGAGTGTGACGTGCGTCATACAAAATGGCAGCGATGCCCACGTGAAGGCCGAGTACCAGCCCTGTTCGTGGGGACTCTCCAAGTGCTCGCGAACTCTCACGTGGGTTGACGACGATGGTGACGACGTCGATGACGACGACGATGACGACGACAACGACGACGATGACGACGACGTCGATGACGACGATGACGACGATGACAACGATGACGACGATGACGACAACGATGACGACGACTATGACGATGATGACGACGACGATGATGACGACGATGACGACGACGACGCTTCTCCACACCGCCCCACGCAGCACGTTCTGTCTGCAACGCCGTGCCCTTAGAAGGAGCGGTGGCGCAGCGATTAGCGCAGCGCGGCGCCGCACTTCGAACTCGGCGCGTTTCGCGAAAAGTTATTCCTAATAGAGAACCCGTGTTATAGCGAAAATGTGTTATGTGGACACGCGTTAATCGAGGACTTGCCGTTTTTAACAGGCGACGTTTCGCGCAATGAGCGGGAATCAAACTTGGGTCGGCAGGTTCAAAGCACAGTGCGCCAACCGCTCTGCCACCGCTCCTCACATCAACACACACACACACCTGCCACTAAGAGGCCGCTCTTAGTGACAGAATTGACTGAGCACCTTAATGATTTGAATATTAAAAACACGGCTGTTGTTACCACGGTGGAATCTCCCTATCCCCCCCACCCCCCCCCTTCTAGTACCTGATGAGTGCAGCCGAGATGACGAACGTCGTAGCAATGTAAAAACCTTTTCATTTCTCAACAAATCGCGCGCTCCGCTCACGTGACCCAACAGGTACCGCGTGTACCAGCGGCCCGCGTACCGCGTGGGCTACAAGTCGGTGACCGAACTCGAGTGGCGCTGCTGCCCTGGCTACCACGGGGTCAACTGCCAGGACGAGACGGGCGGCCCCGGGGTGGCCACCGGTGGGCTGCCCAGCGGGGTGCCCGGTGGGGGTACTGGAGGTGGACCCAGTGGGCACACCGATGAGGTCCCGGGGGGCTCCGTGGACGGGGTGCCCGGAGGGCCGCACGCAGGCGATGGAGGGGGACGCCAAGTTCCCAGCCAGAAGATCGACGGACCTGGTAAGACGACGACGGAGGTGGCGCTGTCCTCGTCTCCTGCCGTGTGGCAGGAGGGAGAGGCGACGGTCATCGACGCGCATTGAAGTTGGTTCGACCCAATCCGTCGGGGGTCGGGAACCTGTGGCTCCGGAGCCGAATGCGGCTCATTGCCCGCTGAGATGTTTGTGTGCACGTGGCTCTGCGTGTTTAGCGGCTCTGGAAATATTTTGGGTAAACAATGGCTCCGCTTCCGCTTCTTCTCTGAAAAGTTGTCCACCTCAGAATCAATCCAAGGAGGCAGCAGCAGCAGCGAGTGTAGACCCTGCGTGGATCACGGCGACACCGCCTGGACGTCGCACGGACGTTGCGCGACGTTCGTCGGTGACGCGTTTGATGGTTTGGATGTCCGGACCGCGGTCGCTTACCGCGTCCGCAGCCGCCCGCGAGTGCCGATGCCTGGCGCTGTGACCGGCGGTTCAGTCACAGAGCAGCGGTGGAAGGGCCAACGCTGTCACTCGTTGAAAACCAATTTACACGGTGCTCGCAAATCGCTGCGTTGGAAACACGGCGTAAGTGGAAACGCCACGTGATCGCCCTTAACCCACAGCGTTCTTCATTGCAAGGCCACGTGGGTCACTGGCGACCGCTGATGGTCGTTAGTGCGGCCCCTGACGTTGCGGTCTCCCGACAAAACACACAACACGTGACAACACCCCACCCACCCATGATCATCGTCGTGCTGCTGTCACACCTCCCAATGGTTTGAAACGTGGAACACTGCTCGTACCGCTGAGCCACCACCATGAACACCACCACCACGATCACCACCGGCACCACCACTATTCTCACCACCAACCAGCGGTGTAGGAACTAACTCCATCATCAGCTCAGGGCGTGCGGCAATCGGCCAGGTGGGGCCCCAATATTTGACTTGTCTCGCACGGTCGCACCTAGAGGCTGCTATTATATACCGCGGCCTCCTCTTGCCTAATCACATCATTACAGAAGTTGTTGTTCTGTTACACTGTTGTTGTTGAAATCACATCTCATGGTGGTTGTCAAGGAGGCCCCAACTCGTAGCTTTTGCCACCAGAGGTGCCCCCACGCTCGTTACGCGACCGCCACACCAACCATCATCATCATCATCATCGCCGCCACCACCATCATCGTCGCCGCCGTTTATCTCCACCCAGGCGGCAGGGCCCCGCCCGACCTGCTGGGCGAGCGCGTGTCCCGGCTGGAGGAGGACAACCGGCGCCTCGCCTCGTCGCTCGAGACGCTGCGAGTCTCCCTGGCCGGCATGGCCGATCGCCTCCGTGCGGCCGCACAGGAGGACGCGAGCCGCCTGCTGCTGGGCCTGCTGGAGAGCGGCGCCAACACGCGCCTGCCCGAAGGCACGGCGATCCGGGATCCCGAAGGACTCCTGCCCGACCTGCGCGCCGCCGGCCTTCGGCTGGGGCCCAACGGTCAGCTGGTGGCGCCGGGCCTCCAGGAGGTGGCCTCGAAGGTCACGCAGGTGACCGACGTGCTCAAGGTGGGTTGGACGGGGGCGTCCGGGTGCCGATGTAAAAAAAAAAAAAACTACGGACAAAAAACCAAAACAATGGGTTTTTTTTGTCATACTAAAGGTTTTTGGGTTAGATATAAATTTGTTGCAACCCTCCACCATCCGACGCAGCCAATCGCCAAACAGTGATGGATGTAATTACCAGCGAAACGTCGTACTAATAAAATTGTAAATGCTTCTGGATTTATTCTCCAACGCACCGGTGGGCTGAAGTAGTAACTAATTTGCATTTTGTTTACGTGACAAATCCCTTACTAATTGGCTGTGTCGGGTGGTGGAGGGATACGACACATTTATACTCACGCGATCTAACCCAAAAACGTTTATGATGAATAATATTGGTCGCGAAAGCAGAAGTGTTAAATGTGTTTTATTTTAACAGGCAAGGCCCCACTGAGCTTTATAGCGCAGAAGCGACCCGAAAATCACAAATGATAGCTCAACGAAGTGGGCTTATCATCACGTGGAAATTAATAGCAGCCAAATACTCTAAACAGCGTGGTGATGTTGATTCTAAATGTGGAGGGAGAAACCGGTGGACCCGGAGAAAAATCCACGCCACCACGGGGTGAGAGAGACACGCAAACTCCAAATAGGCATCAAGGTCGGGATCGAACCCACAACCTCCTGCATACCAGGCGAGTAGTTAACATCTCGCCGCCGTGGCGAGATGTTAAAGTATGGATTCCTGCAGTCACGAAAGCTTCAAATCAAGATTGAGATGTAACGATTGTAGTAACTGAATACCGATTCGAGTGGTTTTTTTTTTTTGTCGGGGCGTCTTAGAACGCTGTACACGCACCACGTGGGCCACCCTGGATTGTTATCCTCTTCCCTCCCCTCGCCTCTCCTTCCCGGGTCTCCCCTCCCCCTTTCGTCATCCCGAAGTGTCCCTCTATCGCTGCTATCACTCATTCCTCAATATCTCGCACGCCCCTTGGCGTCCAAACCGTTCCGTTGTGTATCACCGTTTTCTGAACATTGTCAAGCGCTTTGAGCGAAGGCGCTCTGTAAATATAAAATTAGGTTAGGTTATTCTGACTTCCTCGATTTTTTCTTGATGATGGTTCCAACCCCATCGGCGTGTGTGTAATCGGCTTGTGTGTAACAGGCGTGTATGTTATTGGCGTGTGTGTAATCCGCGTATGTGTAATCGGCGTGTGTGTAACCGGCGTGTGTGTAACCGGCGTGTGTGTAACCGGCGTGTGTGTAACCGGCGTGTGTGTAATCCACGTGTGTGTAACCGGCGTGTGTGTAATCCACGTGTGTGTAATCCACGTGTGTGTAATCCACGTGTGTGTAATCCACGTGTGTGTAACCGGCGTGTGTGTAATCCGCGTGTGTGTAATCGCCGCTAAACTTAACTGTGAGAACGATTCCGTCAACTCAGCGGTGAGTGAGCTGGATGAACGATAATGATGGGCGCGTTCAAAAACGCTCGTCCGCGTGACGATTTAATTCGTTCGTGTTGTGCTGGGTGGTGCGGTGCCTTGACGACACAAATGTGGCCCGATCACGACGTGGCCTCACGTAACAAATAAACACGTAGCTGCGAATCACCGTCACGACCTATCGCCGTCATCGTCACCGTCGTCGTCATGACGAATCGTCCCCCCTTCTCTCCTCTCGTCCCAAAACAATGCAGACGAAGAGCGAGGCTCTGGACGAGCTGCAGGGCCTGGTGCTGGACCACACGCACAAAATCCAGCAGCTCATGGACATCAGCAGGAACGGCGCCGACTCGGCGGCGGGCCACGACCTCTCGTCCATCGACGCGCACCTCCAGAAGCGCATCGACGACGCCAGGGCGCAGATCCTGTCGGGCGTCGAGCAGAAGACGTCGGCGCTCAAGTGCAGCTGCGACACGCAGCTGGTGGTGCTGCAGCAGCAGCAGGAGGAGCAGCGCGACCAGCGCGTGCAGGACGCCCTCGACGGATTCACGGGCCAGCTGGAGAGCCTCCGAGCGCGCCTCGACGCGCCCACCGGCCCGGTCGGCGACCCCTCCGCCGGCGGCACCGGCGGCTCGGACGTCGGCGGCGACTGCTGCCGGGACCTCGCGTCTCGCCTCGGCGGGCTCGAGTCGCGAGTGTCGCTCGTGGGCGACGCTCACGAGACGCTGAACGCTCGCCTCGACAGCGAGGTGGAGCGCCTGGGCGGCGTGGCGGGCGGCGCCCTGCCCGAGGACGTGGACGCTCTGCTCCGGGAGCGCTTCGAAGACCTGGAGGCGCGCATCAACGCGAGCGAGAAGAACGCCGAGGTGCACTGCCAGTACGTGCAGGACGTGCTGCGGGGACAGCTCGCGGCCGACATCGACGGCATCCAGACGGGCCTCGACAGCAAGCTGCAGGGCTTCGAGGACAAGTTCGTGAACATCATCACGGAGATCGGCGGCCAGGGAGGAGGAGGAGGAGGCGACGGGGCAGATGGCGCGGGTCTCCTGGGCGCCGAGCTGGGCGACCTGCGGGCCCTCCTCGCCGGGTTCGCGGCGAACTCGTCGGGCGCGGCAGCTCACCTCGACGGCATCGAGGGGCGCCTGCGGGAGCTGGAGGAGGTGTGCAGTACCAAGTGCGTGGTGAGCGAGCCCGAGCTGGAGGGCATCAGGGCGGGCATCGCCGACTGCGGCGCCAAGCACGAGCTGACGCTGCTGCGCCTGGAGCGGCAGAGCCACGCGCTGCGCCTCGTCAACCGCAGCGTCCACGAGCTGCAGGCCCGGCGGCCCGACGGGGCAGGAGGAGGGGGAGGAGAAGGGGGAGGAGGAGACGGGGACGTGGGCTCCCTGCAGGGCGAGCTCACCATCCTCAAGGTGAACTTCAACGCCTTCAACCGCACGCTCAAGGGGCTGCGCGACGCGGCCGCACGGCGCGAGCACGACGAGCGGCTGTCCGAGACGTCGTCCTCGTCGTCGACGACGACGACGGTGCTGGAGGAGAGCGAGCGGCAGCTCGTGCACGAGGTGGCGCAGATGCAGCGGCTGCTCAGCGACCACGGCTCGCGCATCTCGCTCGGGGACCGACGCGCCCGTGGCCTCCGCGCCGAGCTGGGGAAGCTCGCGGGGCAGATCGTGGCGGAGGTCGGGCGGTGCAAGCTGTCGGCCAAGGCCGCGCACGAGGAGGTGGGGCCTCGCGCTCGCCGCTGTCGTGGCGGCGGCGGTGGTGGTGGTGGTGTTGATGAAGATGACAGTGGTGGCGATGATGACGGTGGTGGTGTTGATGGGGGTGGTGGCGGTGGTAGTGTTGTTGACGACGGTGGTGGTGGCGGTGGTGTTGATGATGATGGTAGTATTGTTGACGACGGTGGTGGTGGTGGTGGTGTTGGTGGCGGCGGTGGTCTTGACGAGGATAACGACGACGGCGGCGGCCGGCGGTAGCTCCTGGCGACACGTGACGACACGCGACGACGCGGCACGTGACGACACGTGACACATGACGACACGCGACGAGGCGACACGTGACGACACGCAACACGTGACGACACGCGACGACGCGACACGTGACGACACGCAACACGTGACGACACGCGACGACACGCGACACGTGACGACACGCGACGACGCGACACGTGACGACACGCGACACGTGACGACGTGCTGCCGCGTGCTCCGCCGCGCCGGTCACCGACCGTGGCGGGTCGCCCGCAGGTGCACGGCTTCGACGGGCGCGTGGCGCACGTGGAGGACGCCTGCTCCAGGCTGCACGCCTTCTCACAGAGCCTGGACCGCGTGCGCGACGCCACGGAGCGCGCCGCGCACGACGCCCGCTCCGACATCGCCCGCCTCGAGCGCGCCGCCGCCTCGCAGCAGCGCGACGTCGCCGAGCTCAAGGGGGCCATCGACGGCGTGGAGGGCCGCCTCCGTGAGGTGGCGGCCGCGTCGGCCGCGGCGAAGTCGGCGTCGTCGCTTGCGCCCGGGGCCCCGTTCGGTGAGTGGCGCGGGCTCAGATCATTCGCGTGTGCATGGATCTCCGTGTGAGACTCTGGGTCTCTGCGTGTGTGCGTGGATCTTTGTGTGAGACTCTGAGTCTCTGAGGTGTCTGCGTGTGTGCGTGGATCTCTGTGTGAGACTCTGGGTCTCTGGATCTCTGCATGTGTGCATGGATCTCCGTGTGAGACTCTGGGTCTCTGCGTGTGTGCGTGGATCTTCGTGTGAGACTCTGGGTCTCTGCGTGTGTGCGTGGATCTCTGTGTGAGACTCTGGGTCTCTGCATGTGTGCATGGATCTTTGTGTGAGACTCTGGGTCTCTGGATCTCTGCGTGTGTGCGTGGATCTCCGTGTGAGACTCTGTGTCTCTGGGTCTCTGCGTGTGTGCGTGGATCTCCGTGTGAGACTCTGGGTCTCTGGGTCTCTGCGTGTGTGCGTGGATCTCCGTGTGAGACTCTGGGTCTCTGCGTGTGTGCGTGGATCTTTGTGTGAGACTCTGGGTCTCTGCGTGTGTGCGTGGATCTCTGTGTGAGTCTCTGGGTCTCTGCGTGTGTGCGTGGATCTCTGTGTGAGACTCTGGGTATCTCGGTGTCTGCATGTGTGCGTGGATCTCTGTGTGAGACTCTGGGTCTCTGGGTGTGTGCGTGGATCTCCGTGTGAGACTCTGGGTCTCTGGGTGTCTGCGTGTGTGCGTGGATCTCTGTGTGAGACTCTGGGTCACTGGGTGTCTGCGTGTGTGCGTGGATCTCTGTGTGAGACTCTGGGTCTCTGCATGTGTGCATGGATCTTTGTGTGAGACTCTGGGTCTCTGGATCTCTGCGTGTGTGCGTGGATCTCCGTGTGAGACTCTGGGTCTCTGGGTCTCTGCGTGTGTGCGTGGATCTCCGTGTGAGACTCTGGGTCTCTGGGTGTCTGCGTGTGTGCGTGGATCTCCGTGTGAGACTCTGGGTCTCTGCGTGTGTGCGTGGATCTTCGTGTGAGACTCTGGGTCTCTGCGTGTGTGCGTGGATCTCTGTGTGAGACTCTGGGTCTCTGCATGTGTGCATGGATCTTTGTGTGAGACTCTGGGTCTCTGGATCTCTGCGTGTGTGCGTGGATCTCCGTGTGAGACTCTGGGTCTCTGGGTCTCTGAGTGTGTGCGTGGATCTCCGTGTGAGACTCTGGGTCTCTGGGTCTCTGCGTGTGTGCGTGGATCTCCGTGTGAGACTCTGGGTCTCTGCGTGTGTGCGTGGATCTTTGTGTGAGACTCTGGGTCTCTGCGTGTGTGCGTGGATCTCTGTGTGAGTCTCTGGGTCTCTGCGTGTGTGCGTGGATCTCTGTGTGAGACTCTGGGTATCTCGGTGTCTGCATGTGTGCGTGGATCTCTGTGTGAGACTCTGGGTCTCTGTGTGTGTGCGTGGATCTCCGTGTGAGACTCTGGGTCTCTGGGTGTCTGCGTGTGTGCGTGGATCTCTGTGTGAGACTCTGGGTCACTGGGTGTCTGCGTGTGTGCGTGGATCTCTGTGTGAGACTTTGGGTCTCTAGGTGTCTGCGTGTGTGCGTGGATCTCTGTGTGAGACTTTGGGTCTCTAGGTGTCTGCGTGTGTGCGTGGATCTCTGTGTGAGACTCTGGGTCTCTGAGGTGTCTGCGTGTGTGCGTGGATCTCCGTGTGAGACTCTGGGTCTCTGGGTGTCTGCGTGTGTGCGTGGATCTCTGTGTGAGACTCTGGGTCTCTGGGTGTCTGCGTGTGTGCGTGGATCTCTGTGTGAGCCTCTGGGTGTCTGCGTGTGTGCGTGGATCTCCGTGTGAGACTCTGGGTCTCCGTGTGGGTCTCTGCGTGTGTGTGTGGATCTCTGTTTCAGTTTGTTGTAGTGGTGGCACACTGCGCTTAAAACCCGGCGACCAGAGTTTGCTTCCCGCTCGCGGTGCGTGACGGTGTGTGAAAGTGCGTGACTGTGCGTGACTGCGTGTGACTGTGCATGTGACTGTGCGTGACTGTGCGTGTGACTGTGCGTGTGACTGCGTGTGACTGTGTGTGACTGTGTGTGTGACTGTGCGTGTGACTGTGTGTGACTGTGCGTGTGACTGTGCGTGACTGCGCGTGACGGCACGTGACTTTGCGTGACTGTGCGTGTGACTGTGCGTGACTGTGCGTGTGACTGTGCGTGTGACTGCGTGTGACTGTGTGTGACTGTGTGTGTGACTGTGCGTGTGACTGTGTGTGACTGTGCGTGTGACTGTGTGTGACTGTGCGTGTGACTGTGCGTGACTGTGCGTGTGACTGTGCGTGACTGCGCGTGACTGTGCATGACTGTGCGTGTGACTGAACGTGACTTTGCGTGACTGTGCGTGTGACTGTGCGTGACTGTGCGTGTGACTGTGCGTGTGACTGCGTGTGACTGTGTGTGACTGCGTGACTGTGCGTGTGACTGTGCATGTGACTGTGCGTGTGACTGTGTGTGACTGTGCGTGTGACTGTGTGTGACTGTGCGTGACTGTGTGTGACTGTGCGTGACTGTGTGTGACTGTGTGTATGACTGTGCGTGACTGTGTGTATGACTGTGTGTGACTGTGTGTGTGACTGTGTGTGTGACTGTGTGTGACTGTGCATGACTGTGCGTGTGACTGTGTGTGACTGTGTGACTGTGTGTGTGACTGTGTGTGACTGTGTGTGACTGTGTGTGTGACTGTGTGTGACTGTGTGTCAAGGGATGGCTCCCTATTGCTCAACCACGTTACGTATGCTGATGATTTGGTAATAGCTGCTCAGTCAGAGGAGGAGTTGGAGACGCTGCTGCTGAGACTGGAGCGTGCCACTAAGAGGTGGGGCCTTACCATCAGCCCCACCAAAACTAAGCACCTGCCTGGGTATTTTGTACCATCGGACACTCCACCCCCACAACTCCCAATCGGTGATGGGGCAGTTGTGGAGAGAGTGGAGAGTTTCCCATACCTGGGCAGTGTGCTTATGACTGGCTCCAGTTTAACAGCAGAGGTCTCACTCCGAATCAGTCGAGCGGCAATATCTTTTCATCGGTTGCGTAACGCTGTGTGGAAGCTACCTGGTCTGTCACTCCGCACTAAGCTTCAGGTCTTCTCGGCCACGGTCATTCCCTCCCTTCTCTACGCTTGCGAAACGTGGACCCCCCTAATGGAACATCTTCGCCGGTTAGAAACATTTAGGCTGGCCTGCCTATGATCCATCCTGGGTTTAACCAGACTGGATTGTGTGAGGAGCTCACAAATCTTTGAAAGATCTGGGCAAGGTCCCATCGGTGAGCTCCTCCGGCGGGGAAGGCTGCAATGGCTGGGTCATGTAGCCTGCATGCCCAGCCACCGCATGCCGAAACAGCTTTTGTTCGGCCGGATTGAGGGGGCTAAGCGGGCGCTGCACGGGCTAGAGAAGAGATGGAGTGATGTGGTACAGGAGGACGTGGAGCTGAGTGGACTTGCCGATGACTGGTACCAGCGGTGTCAAGATCGGCCTCTGTGGAGGAGGCTCGCGAAGGACGCTACTGGGCAGTTGGAGGCAGTCGCCCTCCAACAACAACGGAGGGCGGAGGAGCGACGCTCACAACAACGAGCGGAGCGCCGGGTGGCTAAAGCACAGCAGGTTGGCACAATAGGGGGCACAGTTGGTGCATCAGCCAGTCATCTCAGTGAGTCGACCCGTGGCACCTGGGTCTGCCCCGTGACCTCCTGCCAGCGGGCGTTCGACACTTCACGTGGCCTCAGGGTGCACATTGCCTGGCACAAGCGTCGTGGTGACGTCACCTCCACTTAGTGGCGAATGGCGGTTGTTGTTGACTGTGCGTGACTGTGTGTGTGACTGTGCGTGTGACTGTGTGTAACTGTGTGTGTGACTGTGTGTGACTGTGTGTGTGAATGTGTGTGACTGTGTGTGTGACTGTGTGTGACTGTGTGTGACTGTGTGTGTGACTGTGCGTGTGACTGTGTGTGTGACTGTGTGTGACTGTGTGTGACTGTGCGTGTGACTGTGTGTGACTGTGTGTGTGACTGTGTGTGACTGTGTGTGTGACTGTGTGTGACTGTGTGTGTGAATGTGTGTGACTGTGTGTGTGACTGTGTGTGACTGTGTGTGTGACTGTGTGTGACTGTGTGTGTGACTGTGTGTGTGACTGCGTGTGACTGTGCGTGACTGTGTGTGACTGTGCGTGACTGTGTGTGTGACTGTGTGTGACTGTGTGCACAGGGGCGCTTGCTCCCCACTCCCCCAAGGCCGCCGCCTTCTCCGTGGCGCTCTCTGCGCGCTCCGCGGGAGACGTCGTGAGGTTCGACCGCCTCCTCCTCAACGACGGAGACAACTACGAGCCCACGACAGGTGCAGGTCCACCCCGCTGCGTCCACCCCGCTGCGTCCACCCCGCCGAGTCCACCTCACTGAGTCCACCTCACTGAGTCCATCCCTCTGAGTCCACCTCACCGATTCCACCCCGCTGAGTCCACCCCGCTGAGTCCACCCCGCTGAGTCCACCCTGCTGAGTCCACCCCTCTGAGTCGACTCCGCTGAGTCCACCCCGCTGAGTCCACCCCTCTGAGTCCACCCCTCTAAGTCCACCCCTCTGAGTCGACTCCGCTGAGTCCACCCCGCTGAGTCCACCCTGCTGAGTCCACCCCACTGAGTCCACCCCGCTGAGTCCACCTTGCTGCGTCCACCCCTCCGAGTCCACCCCGCTGAGTCCACAACCCGCCGAGTCCACCCCGCCGCGTCCACCCTGCCGCGTCCACCCCTCTGAGTCCACCTCGCTGAGTCCACCTCGCTGCGTCCACCCCTCTGAGTCCACCTCGCTGAGTCCACCCCGCAGAGTCCACCCCGCTGAGTCCACCCCGCTGAGTCCACCCCTCTGAGTCCACCCCGCTGAGTCCACCCCGCTGAGTCCACCTTGCTGCGTCCACCCCTCCGAGTCCACCCCGCTGAGTCCACCCCGCCGAGTCCACCCCGCCGCGTCCACCCTGCCGCGTCCACCCCTCTGAGTCCACCTCGCTGAGTCCACCTCGCTGCGTCCACCCCTCTGAGTCCACCTCGCTGAGTCCACCCCGCAGAGTCCACCCCGCTGAGTCCACCCCTCTGAGTCCACCCCTCTGAGTCCACCCCGCTGAGTCCACCCCTCTGAGTCCACCCTGCTGAGTCCACCCTGCTGAGTCCACCTCGCTGAGTCCACCCCGCTGAGTCCACCCCACGGTGTCCACTTGCTCGCTCACCATGGTTTGGAGCTCGTCGCCGTAGTCGCACACAGCAGAGACGCCCCGATTCGCCACTTGTAGTCATGACGATGGTGACGATGATGGTGACGATGGTGATGGTGGTGATGGTGATGTTGGTGATGATGGTGGTGATGTTGGTGATGATGGTGACGATGGTGATGATAGTGGTGGCGGTGATGTTGGTGATGATGGTGACGAGGATGATGATTGTGTTGATGATGGTGATGATGGTGATGATAGTGGTGATGATAGTGGTGACGGTGACGATGGTGATGATAGTTGTGACGGTGACGTTGGTGATGATGGTGACGATGGTGATGATGGTGGTGATTGGTGACAATGGTGATGATAGTGGTGACGGTGACGTTGATGATGATGGTTACGAGGATGATGATTGTGTTGATGGTGATGTTGGTGATGACGGTGAGTATTATCCGCAAGATGAACGCTCGTGACAGCAGTGTCATTGGCGGCGATGATGATAACGACAACAACAACAGCAGCAACAATCACAAAGATGACCCCGGCGACCCCCTTCTTCCCCCAGGCATCTTCCGCGTGCCCTACACGGGCCGCTACCTCGTGAGCGTCGCCCTCCCGGCTCGCACCGGGCCCTCGACGTCGCGCGTGACCCTCGTGGTGTCCGGCGAACCCGTGGGGCAGATCTCAACGGCGGGGGAAGGAGGAGGGCCGTGGCTCAACCTCGGCGGGGAGGAGGAGGGGGAGCAGGAGGCAGTCGCGTCCTCCTCCTCCTCTTTCCTGGCGGTGCTGGGTCTCAACGCGGGCGACACTCTCTACGTGGCCAGCTCGCTTGGGCAGGTGGGGCGTGGCGCGACGTTCAGCGCCGCGATGCTGTACGAGACGCAGGAGGGGACGCTGTGAGCGCGCGCGGTGTGACCGCGTGCTGGTGCGTGTGTGTGTGTGCGTGTGTGGATGTGTGTGTGCGTGTGTGTGTGGATGTGTGTGTGGATGTGTGTTTGTGGATGTGTGTGTGCGTGTGTGTGTGTGTATGTGTGTGTGCGTGTGTGTGTGTGGATGTGCGTTTGTCTTTGCGGGGGGCGGGGTTAGCGCGCTGTGCTGGACAGCCGGCAAACCCGAGTTCGATTTCCAACATCGGTGACGGTTATCTGAATCGGTCCTGGGCTTCCCCTAGGTCGACTCAGCCTCACTGGTGCGGTGTGTAAACATCGCCACAAGGTGCTCGCTTGCAGAACTTGCCCCGACAGTCTATTAAGGCTATGGGGGGGTGCAGGGTTCTTTGTCGTTGTTGTATCTGTGTCTGAGTGCCGTGCCGGCCTTCATAGGTGCTGCTCGCTCACAGCACTTGCCCCATAGGTCTGTTAAGGCTATACGGGGGATGTTTGTCTTTGTGTAGTGAGTTCAACTGAGTCGCAGACGTATACTTGGAGGCATTCATTTAACTCCAACACACGGGGTAAAGAGGCTAGTTAACACGTGACTGGTGTAGTTAACCTGGTGGTGACCACCAGGCTAACTACACTAGTTACCACGTGACTAGTGTAGTTAGCCAGGCGGTGACCGCCAGGCTAACTACACTAGTTACCACGTGACTGGTGTAGTTAACCTGGTGGTGACCACCAGGCTAACTACACTAGTTACCACGTGACTGGTGTAGTTAACCTGGTGGTGACCACCAGGCTAACTATACTAGTTACCACGTGACTGGTGTAGTTAACCTGGTGGTGACCACCTGGCTAACTATACTAGTTACTACACTAGTAACTACACTAGTTACCACGTGACTAGCTACAACGGACCGGAACCACAGCTCGGGTCCAGGTCCACGTGTTGGAGACTCGGTAGAATGTAGAACGTTGATGAAGGTTGCTTCAAGATGAACAACAACGCCGGTCCCTCTGGGGACCCGGCTTATATCCTCTGTGGCGTGGCCAGCTCCGCCCTTGGCCACGCCCACCTTCCAGAACCCTCAAGCAGGATCTGGACGCTAACCACGTGACCACCCCTAACCCCCACTTGGGGCCTCGTTGTAGACTTAACCGGTCACGTGTCCTCTCGGGTCAACCAGAGTTCCACGGCCTTTGGTAGCCCCGTTCCTAGGGCCGGCACTCCCACACCCTATCCTGTAGGGGCTGGCACTGCACGCCAAGCGTGGTGCCATCCAGCGCTGTCAATCAGCGCTCACCGGGCCCCTCTAGGGCCGGTACTGCACCCACATCACTGTGGTGTCCGCGATGTCGCTACATTTGTAAAAGTGTCAGTGTATGTTAACGCGCGCGTGTGTGTGCATCTGTATATATGTTGTGCGTAAGCGTGAGTACGGGGAGCGGCAGTGCAGTGGTTAGCGCGCTGCGCCACGAACCCGGCGAGCCGAGCTCGATTTGCCACTCGTCTGAACCGGTGCTGGGTCTCCCCTAGGTCGACTCAGCCTTAAAAAATGAGTGCTGCGGTGCGTAAACGCCGGAAACGGGGCGTGGGGGTCGGGAAAGACAGCCAGCCGGGCATGGTGACGTCCACACCACCCCTTCGTGTGCCGTGCCGGCCTTAATAGGTGCTTGCTAACAGCACTTGCCCCAATAGCCTGTTAAAGGCGATACGGGGGGTGGGTGAGGGAGGGTTCTTTGTGTAAGGGCTGTACATGTTTGCGTTTGTGTGTGTGTAGTGTAGCGGTTAGCGCTACGCTGCGCTACGAACCTGGCGGCCCGGGTTCGATTCCCGCTCACGGCCAACGCCGGTGACGATTATCTGAACCGGTCCCGGGCCTCCTCCCCTAGGTCGACTCAGCCTCAAATGAGTACCTGGTGCGGTGTGTAAACATCGCCACTGGGGAGACAAAGGCGGTCGGGCGTGGTGCTGGCCACCCCAACCCCCTCTTGTGCCGTTCCGGCCTTCATAGGTGCTCGCTAACAGCACTTGCCCCTACAGTCTGTTAAGGCTATACGGGGGATCTTTTTGTATCTATCTATATGCCCGCTGGGTCTCCTGGTATTTGTATGACTTCGCCAAACACGTGTCACCTGCACCACCCCGCGCGCGCCCCATAACCACAATGCAACCCGGGCCACGCGCCCCGGGGACTCGGGTCGCATCTCGCTGCCCGGCCACGCGCACAGGGTTTAGGAGTCCAGCAAAGTCCGACGTTGATACAACGTCGGACTAACGTTTCCACGCGTTGACGGGGCGATGTGCACGTGTAGCACGCGCTGATCGAAAGGGGTGGAGGGCCCTTCTGTTTCCGCGTTTGTTCGTGGAGCGCTTGAATTGCGTTGGATTATAATTATTATCAAGGCAAGGGCCGCGTGCGTGGCTTTATGAGTCGTCCATTAAAGTAACAACAGCAACAGTGGTAATTTGACTTGATACGTGAGACTCTCAACACCCAACGTTGTCATTTTATGGTGCTATCACTCGCGACGTCCCGGTTCATCGGCGAGATGCTGTACAAAGTTGGGGGGGGGGTGGGGATGGGGGGTTCACATATTTACCTATATCAGTAAGTCATCTATAAGACGCAGATTTAAATTGTCTAACCCAAGCGCTGAGAGTGGTCGCCACATATACGAGGATGGTGGTGGTGGTGGAGTGGCCACGGTGTACACGAGACTGTTTTTTTTGTTACAAAGGGTTTGTTTTTCGTGGAGCTGAAATAATTGTTATATTTTAAACGCAATGGTTTATATATAGCATATTGTTATATATGCATCTTTGAAGCTGTATTTAAGAATAGACCAGATAACAAAAAAATACTTATTTTGTATCGCCGAACTTGTGTTTTTATACAACAAATAAACATCGATTACAACTTTGGTGGTGGTGAATCGTCAATTTGTCAACTGGACCTCCGCCATCCGCACATCTCAACATCTTCCTGGCTCCTTCATCCCCTGCCCAGCTTGAACTCATTTCTTCAGAACTGCTTTGTGTTGAGTGTTGGCAAATTTGGGTGGGGAATTGTCCCGGTCACCCCTCCACCCCCTCTACCCCCACCCCCTCTACCCCCCCACCCCCTCCACCCCCTCTACCCTCTCCACCCCCTCCACCCCCTCCATCCGTATTGTATCGCTCGGACGTCCACTGACAGGGCCCTCATGGAGCAGTTCCTGTGACATCCGCCGACACAAAGGGGATTGTGCGATGCCCTGCGAAATATCCGAATGGATTCTTCACTTCATGACAACACAGCACGCCGATAGCATAATCGCGATAAAATTGGGGAAAACGGGGACGATTTTATAAAATCATGTAAATAATAATAGGCAAGGGACGTAAACACAACTGGATCATAATTTCTTTAGGACGCTTTTTGTGTTGATTTTGTTGTCCTTCCGACCGCACCTCCGATGAGCAAGGTTGGCTACGTACAGTGCGGAAGTTCAACGTCGACACACAGCTACTGTGGGAGACACGAGTGCCTTCATCAGCCACCACCCACTCGACAGCTGCCACTTTGCCCCACGAACTCCCCCCACCTCGCTCGCCTCACAACCGCAGGGGATCCGAAATGCCTGTCACACTTCTCCCCCACACCTCGACATGAGACCACATCGCCCCGATCCCTCCACTGGCTCAAGATCCAATTCCGGATCAATGTCAAGATCGCACTCTGTAAAGTCCTTACTTCACTCTACACTCCTCCACACACTCTCCTACCTCTCCCCTTTCATCTCACGACTCCACTCCACACTCGCTCCACTCCAGCAGCCAAGGCGTTCTGTCGAAGTTCCCGGTCAATCTCAGCTCAGTTTGGAGGTCGCTCCTTCTCCTCCGCTGCCCCCAACGCCTGGAACTCCCTACTCCCGCCAACCGTGCTGTCGACTCCCTGTCCAAGTCCAGACTTAAGACCTCCCTCATCTCCTCTGCCTCTCTCACCGTTGCACTGCAGCGTCTCTCTTTACACGCACAGCAAATCTACTTTGATTGTAAAGTGAAGTGCACCGAATGCCACTGCTACTGATGGGAGGAACCAATGAAAATGAACACACGCTACATGGCTATAGAGCAGCCTTAAACTTTATTCGTGATATCATGGCACATTAATGATTATTTTAATACAGTATTTCCCTTTTTCCCCCATCTTTCACAGAAAGAATGTGGACATAATACAACTCTCAAGGTAGTTTTTGTTATTCACAATAGCTGTGTTTATATATACACACCGTAGATGTGTATACGTACTACACGACCGATATATGTTTTGCAATTATGCACAAAGCACCCCATTGAAAGATCTTGTGCGTGTGCCGGCTAAAGTGATTCGGCCCTCGGAGCGACGAATCCGGCACCACCCACGAGCGTCGCGCCGCTTTTCGGCGGCCAACCGCACGCCAAAGACATCGGCGCGGTGTCCTCAACGACGCAGCAGCAGCAGCAGCAGCAGCGACGCCAAAGAGAATTAATCCGGCAGAGTTGACTTCCTCTCTCCGGGGAAGTTATCGGCAATCAGGACTGCGAGCGCCGTAAACAACACGGGCGTGTGGCCGATTCTTACATTCACATTTTGTTCACTCCCGTCGTTTGCTTGCTCCCGCCACCTCGACTCGCATCGCTTCATGTGCAGGCGCACGAGGCTCCTCGGTGAGAGCGCGGCGGTCGTGCGGTCCCCTGAGCCGACGGCGTCTCGACCGGGGGGGGGGAAGAGGCGGGCCGGGTTTTTAGAGATACGGCTCTCCCACGGCGTCTTCCAGGTCGCCGCGTAGTCTGGAAGGATGTCCGACGTTTCATTCCATGCGGGTGGGGCGGGTGTGCAACCCGAGAGCGCGCCGCACTACCGCAAAAAATCCGCACGGTCGGGGTTAGAAAGCGAGTTCGTCTCGGTGTACACCGATTCTAGGCAGCGGCCGCCGTGCAGTTCCAGTCGTCGTAGGCCTCCGTAATCAGAAGGCACGACGACAACAGCGAGCGTGAAAGACTTAGAGCCGCGCGCGCGTCTCTTTCTTGCTCAGCCAGGCCACAACTTCACCGAAAGTGCCGCCTGAGTGACACCGCTGGGAGGAGGAGGAGGAGGGACGCAGTGCACCCACGAAGCCTTCTCCTCGCTGCGGCGTCCGTCGCTCGGGTTTCGGCGGGAAAACTCACGAGCGGGAGTTCACATCTCGCAAAAGGGTTTTAAAATAATTGAGCAACATTCAGAGTACAAGTGGTTTTATTGCCCCCCCACCCCCCACCCGCCCCCGATTTAAAACAAGACGGAAATCCAAGCGGCTGTGAAACCCACGTGTTCCGCAGAGGCAACAGGAAATTATTTTCGCCGTTTTTTTTTTTTTGTTCAATATTCTCCCCCCCCCGACTCGCGACGCGAGGAAATTGGCCGGGAGAGACAAAAGTCTCTTTTCAAAGTGCGACTTAGGCAGCTCTCACATCCTTCTGAGTCGGCGACAAGACAGCTGTACACCACCTTCATCCCGCTCTCCGCTTCGGTCCGCTCCATTCCACTCTGCTCCACTCCGCTTCACATCCCAGCCTCGTGCGGTGTTTCCCATCTCCGCCCCTCCCTTCCCTCCACATAGGCCGCAATCCATCGGTCGGTCGGACCGTCCGCCGGTCCGTCCGTCCGTCACAGCGGTTCGAGGTCGACGCTGGGCATCGGGCTGCGCCAGTAGGTGAACTGGCTGAACTCCTCCGAGCAGGGGAACGCCGCGGCATTTTCTCTCATCATCAGGGGGAACATGTGTTCCACCAGCTCGCTCAGCTTCACGTAGCTGTGGTCGCAGCACGCAAGCACAGCAGCAGCGGCGGCGGTCGCGTGGCAGGCACGGGGGAGGAGAGGAGTAGCGTGCGGATGGGGGGAGAGGAGGAGGATTTGAGGGTGGGTGAACAGAATGGGATGGTGGGAGAGTGGAGGAGGAGGATGGGAAGAGAGCAACATTACACTCAGGTGCAATGCCACGTCTACAGGCATTTTCTTCCAAGTAATTTCTCACTCGTGGTATTTCAATTAATTCATTTAAGTTAATATTCACAACCCATCACACCGTGCTACCGTACCACAATGTCTCTGTGTACGACTGCACAGTCACGTTGTAAACCCAAGCTGTGCAGCGGATGCGTTAAGCTAGGGGGCAGCACAACCCCCCCGTACAGATGGACACAGATGGCGATTAGTCCACTCGTCGCAGCGCCTTCCGCTGGCGAGCCAGGGTACGGCACAGCTCCTCGACGCCCACGCGAAGCGAGGTTCACCCCATCTCTGCAGTGATCCAACAACAACAACCCGAGCTGCTGCCTCCGCAGTGATTGACCATAGGGCGTCACCACCACCGCCATGCAGTGTACACTGGTGTGTTTGTTGGTGTGTTTGTTGGTGTGTACACTGGTGTGTACGTTGGTGTGTACACTGGTGTGTACGTTGGTGTGTACGCTGGTGTGTACGCTGGTGTGTACACTGGTGTGTACGCTGGTGTGTACGTTGGTGTGTACACTGGTGTGTTTGTTGGTGTGTAGGTTGGTGTGTACGCTGGTGTGTACGTTGGTGTGTACACTGGTGTGTAGGTTGGTGTGTTTGTTGGTGTGTACACTGGTGTGTACACTGGTGTGTACGCTGGTGTGTACACTGGTGTGTACGTTGGTGTGTACACTGGTGTGTACGCTGGTGTGTATGCTGGTGTGTACGCTGGTGTGTACGTTGGTGTGTACGTTGGTGTGTACGTTGGTGTGTACGCTGGTGTGTACGCTGGTGTGTACGTTGGTGTGTACGCTGGTGTGTACGTTGGTGGGTACGTTGGTGTGTACGTTGGTGTGTACGTTGGTGTGTACACTGGTGTGTTTGTTGGTGTGTACGTTGGTGTGTATGTTGGTGTGTACACTGGTGTGTACGCTGGTGTGTACGTTGGTGTGTACACTGGTGTGTACGTTGGTGTGTACGTTGGTGTGTACGTTGGTGTGTACGTTGGTGTGTACGCTGGTGTGTACGTTGGTGTGTACGCTGGTGTGTACGTTGGTGTGTACGTTGGTGTGTACGTTGGTGTGTACGCTGGTGTGTACGCTGGTGTGTACGTTGGTGTGTACGCTGGTGTGTACGTTGGTGGGTACGTTGGTGTGTACGTTGGTGTGTACGTTGGTGTGTACACTGGTGTGTTTGTTGGTGTGTACGTTGGTGTGTATGTTGGTGTGTACACTGGTGTGTACGCTGGTGTGTACGTTGGTGTGTACACTGGTGTGTACGTTGGTGTGTACGCTGGTGTGTTTGTTGGTGTGTACGTTGGTGTGTCCGCTGGTGTGTACACTGGTGTGTTTGTTGGTGTGTCCGCTGGTGTGTACACTGGTGTGTTTGTTGGTGTGTACGTTGGTGTGTACGCTGGTGTGTACACTGGTGTGTACGTTGGTGTGTCCGCTGGTGTGTACGTTGGTGTGTATGCTGGTGTGTACACTGGTGTGTTTGTTGGTGTGTACACTGGTGTGTACGCTGTTGTGTAGGTTGGTGGGTACGTTGGTGTGTACGTTGGTGCGTACGTTGGTGGGTACGTTGGTGTGTACGTTGGTGTGTACACTGGTGTGTACGCTGGTGTGTAGGTTGGTGGGTATGTTGGCGCGTACGCTTGTGCGTACGCCTGTGTGTACGCTTATGCGTACGTACGTACGTGGTGCGTGCGTATGTGCGCAAGCGTGCTTGCTGACGTCACTCACGAGGACTTGCAGCTCTTGGTCGGCTCCTGGATGAGCTCCCCGCGTGGGTTCACGGTGAAGATGCGGCTCTCCTGAACCCCCACCTGCCTGTAAGCGTACACATCCTGCCGCCCCGACGAGACGGCGTCAGCACCACGGCCAGCACCAAGCACCCGCAACTGAACTCTCGCGTAGACTTACACAGGATTCGCAGGCTTGCATCGGACCGATTCGATTTCCGTGGGGTTTATCGACTGCGTTAGTTGCACGCGTACGGCTCGGAGCGCTGTCGCGCTGCACTTTGGACGAGTCCTTACATTGGGGCGGTTTCCGAAGGCGGCGTAGAACGGTTGCGAGTTGGCAGGGAAGAGTCGTCCGATGTCACTCAGACACGCGATCTTGAACTTCTCCGGCTTCTTCTCGATCACCTCCCTGTTTTGGACGACGGTAGGCACTTTAGGTCGTCATCTAACCGCTTCACAGCGCGGTCGCTCTCCCTCCCGGGCGTCCATTCATCCGCTGCATAACTGTGGCAGTGGCTGCCGGCAGGAGGACCGCTGCGAGATGTTGTTCAGTGTTGAAAAATTGTGCGCTTGTGCAATTTGTACGTGTATGCATTATCCCGTCGTTTGTTTTGGTACTGTTTGTTGTGGTGACTTGCCGACCTGCCCCGACATAACATGTGCGACAAGGAGATTCACAGCTCATCGGATTCCTATCTGCGGTCTCAAAACAAATCCCGATTCTGATGTAAAACAAATACTAAATAACAGCCATTTGGTCGATCCACTGCTGGATGAAGGCCTCTCTCCATGCCATATGTGGCATGACAGGGGGGGGGGGGGGGTTATTTTGACCATACTTCATCGAGCTGGTCAGTACGGGTCGGTGGAGTTGGGGAGCATAGCCGTGGGAGCACAGAATTACAGTACAATAATGCAATTTGATGCACTGCATTTTACTGCCCGTAGTAAAGCCTCACAGCCTATAGCGCCTGTTATGCATGGTGGTCACCCATACAAGCACCAACCCGACTCAACACTGCTTTAGCTTCTGAGATCTGATGAGTCTGGCACATCGCAGGTGATTTTAGTCATGGGTTGGTAGATACACAACCAGATGACAATTAACATAACAGTACGATCTACGTATATATTTCGAGGAACAGCTGCATTGAGTCTCAAGACCCAATTTACCACGAGGATCCTGCCCCCAGACGTTCGACCAATTTCTTCCCGAGTGTGTGGCAAGTGGGAGGGAATGCCCAGATGATGTAAATGTTAATTCCACGACGCCTTTACAATGTCCGGGTCGTAACCACCCCCCCCACCTCGACCCCCATTGGTACCCCCCTTCCTGCACCTCCCCCCCCCCCCCGCCAACTAGCCCCCCCCCCCTCCCCCACCAGAAAGCTACTGAACCAACCAGCGATGACCGAATTCTCAAGTTCCGGCCAACTCCACAAATCCCGGTCTCAATCGTGCGCGCAAACTAAATAATAAAAATGCGCGCGGTTGGCTACGTACAGGCGCCAAAGAAGATTCGACATGCACATCCATACGACGCTAAAAAAAAAAAGACGCGCCATTGGGCTCAATTATTTATTTGCTGTACGTGCATAGTTATTGTCGGAGTAAAAGCTGGGTACTCACAAGCAACCCACACCAAACAGTACATATATCTGTACTGCCACCTGCCGGCCGCACCTGAATGTTTGCCTCGACGCACAGAGCCGAAGGGAAAAGAAGATTGGGAGAACCTTGGAGAAAACCTCCCGCCCATGCGTGGGTGCAACACTCGCCAGGTCCACACGCACGGGTTCACGTTCCCACTGCCTGTGCTGCCATCACCTGACCACCTAACATCTCAAGTGTGTGTTGGGAGCCTTGCGAACCTTGTTACCATCCCCTTAGCTCCAAAACACCACATCACAGGTGCGCTGCTAGGCGTGGTACTATAGGTACTAGTAGTACTAGTATTAGAGGTACTACTAGTACCGGTATAATAGGTACTACTATTAAGAGTATTATAGGTAGTACTACTAGTAATAGTATTATAGGTACTAGTAGTATTATAGGTACTCGTCATAGGCACGAGTAGATGTAGTCGAACTAGTATAGGTAAGAGATGGCATACCTGTGGAAAGCTCTGAACAGACTGCTGGGGGACAGCAGCAGTGGGCCCTTGGGCAGCATCACGCCCTGCTCGTTCACCCACTCGAGGTAGCTGCGGGTCAGGTCCGCCATGCCGATAGCACGCGCCGAGCAGTACAGGAACTTGTAACCATTCCTGAGGACACCGCGTGCACACAAGACGGAGATCATCCTCCCACCCGCATAGCCTTTAACGGACCGCCAGGGCAAGCGCTGCTAAGCGAGGAGGGCCTACACGCAGGCCTGCGTGGCACACGAGGAGGTGGTGTGGCAGGCGCCACACCCGGCCGGCTTTGTCCCACCAAGTGCTGATGTTTAGACACCACACCGGGTACTGGTTTTATTAAGGCCGAGTCGACCAAGGAGAGGCCCAGGACGGTTCTGATATTCGGCAATGTTATTGGTCGTGAGCGGGAATCGAACTCTGGTCGCCGGGTTCGTAGCGCGCAACACCGCGATCGCCACTAAGTGACGGTGACGTCACCCCAGCGCTTGTGCCATGCTAGGTGCACTTTTGAGGCAACATTAAGTGTCGATGGCCTGCCGGTAGGAGGTCACGTAACAGACCCAGGTGCCATGGCGGGACTGAATGAGATGACCGGCAGATGCAACAACTGTGCTCCCCACCGCACACACACAAGCAAACAATACAAAAAACGGGCGAGGATACGCGTCAAACGCAAACGAGAGAGACTCACTCGTGGATTTTGTGGTAGAGCTTGGCGATGCCCTCGTGCGTCCAGTCCTTGCCAAACTGCGGCAAGATGTGGCCCAGCGTGTCCGACCTACGGGACGCGCAAACATTCATTGTTTGTCAAGAAGCGTTTCACTATTCATCTCCAGCAACCACGTTCAGTTCACTCCTCCGGCCCCGCGGAACGCCACGGATAATCAGACGAACGATCTTTCCGACGCGTCTTCAGGGTTGTTCGGCGCAACGTCCGCAGTTCGCCGCACGCGCCGGGACCAGCTCCCGTCGTCCCTCGATTACAGACCGGTGCCGGCTGCCACTGCACGTGCAGCAAAACGTCGGACATCGTGCCGGACAAAATACGCGGCACAACCCGCGCGCACGCGGGAGATCCGTGCAGCGCGACCGCGAGAGTCGAACCGCGGATAACGGAACGTTCTTCCAACGATTTCTGGGGCCTGTTAATAGGATCAGCGGGCGATAGGAGGGCAGACAAGCGGGGTTTCACAAGGGGGGGGGGGGGGGGGGGCTCTGGGCTGCTCTGAAGAGCCTAAGAATCCGGTTCTTTGGACAACCCCGGGGGCTCTCCCGGACAGGCCGAGCGTTTCCCGTCTCGCCGCGCGGCTCGCGGCCGCACTCGACACCGTGACTTCCCCGAACCTTGTTCGTTCAGTTTTCTCCGTGGCGCTCGCATCCCACCGTCGACGTGACCGCGTGGTCGGGCAAGGTTCGGCGTTGACCGACATCGCCGATTAAAAATAATTACGTCACGGGACGCGTCGCGCACGCCAGGCGAACGCGGTCGTCAAGGGGTTCAGAGTTCAGGGGGGAGTGGCGGTGTGCGCGCACTTGGTGATGGTGCCGTCGATGTCGGATATGACAACGCGGTCGTCCCAGTTCCACAGGTAGATGGTGCCCTCGCAGCGCGTCGTGCCCTGGAACTGCGTCGTGATGCTGAACGTCGCGCTGTTGGCACCCTCACGGAGGTTCAGCCTCGCCTGCTCACCCACGAAGGGGGGAAACGTCGCGTTGGACGTACGTACGTGGATCTCGAGTCCTTGAAGATGCTTGGCGCGAGTTTCAAGCGAAATGTCGCGCATCTCATCGCTGGTAAATTTGGGTGAGGAACTGTCCCAGTCACCCCCCTCCACCCGTGTGGTGTAGATCGGACGTCCACTTACAGAGCTCTCTCAAAGAGCGGTTGCTGTGACATCCGCTAACAGAAAGGGATTGTGCGATGCCCTGCGAAATATCCTAATGGATTCTTTCGCTTCATGACAACACAGGACGCCGAAAGCATAATCGCGATAAAATTGGGGAAAAGGGACGATCGTAAAACAACTGGACCGTAATTTATTTTGAACACTTTGTATTTGTTGTCCTTCCCACCACACCTCCGATTAGCACGGTTGGCTACGTTACGGTGCGAAAGAAGAACACACATATGTGGTGCAGTTATTTAATTGTACATTCGGCCTCTGCCCAAATCTTTCACGATAGCCCTCCTAATGAGGGGGGTGGTGGAGATGGGCACGTACTATCTGCTCTGACGAGAGACGCAGAGACTTCTTGAAGGAAATGCAGGTCAAGGCCTCCTCCAGCGAGTCGGGCACCACCACCCGCTTGGCGTCGCACTCCACTAGCGCCAGCGGCTCGGCAGAGATCACCACCTCATCCACCAGCCTGCGGGGCAGCAGGGGCGGCGGCAGCAGCAGCACGGGCAGCAGCAGCAGCAGCGACAACAGCAACAGTGACAGCAGCGGCAGTGTCAGCAACAGCAGCCGTGTCAACAACTCGAGAGAGTACATTTGGATCAAAATGGAAAGACAGAGTGTGGTGGTCCACGAGGACTGGGAGTTTGGGAAAACCTTGGACCAGGGGCAGCAAAAGACCTCCCGCTGATCTCCGCAGGCTTCCCGTCGCACGAAGCTAAACTCGCACTTTTCGCGGCGGTCCGATTTGTGGGAACGCCGTTCGCGATGACGTGGGCGGGCGCCACGAATCGGCGTTCATGACGACTCGAGAACGAACGAGCACCGAATCTGATCAGTGCGAAGATTGCGACGTGGGAAAGAGCTGCGACCGGGCCGTGGGAAAGACCTGCGACCGGCCGATGTCAATTTTTGCTGCGGGCGGCATTTTTTATTTGAGTCAACAAAACGAGCCGCTCGAAGTTCACGCGCGCATCCCGCGTCCGCAAAACACCCCCCCCCCCCCCCCCCCCCCGCCGCCCCCTCTTCGTTACGCAACGGATTACGAAGCCGCGAGTGTCCCAAGGTTTTATCGACAACGTGGCGGGTGGAAATGGGCAAAGCGACCCCCCCACCCACCTGCTGCCGACGTCCAACTTCTCGGCAGGCATCGTCGAATCCGGCGAAACGTTCCCGTTGGCTGCCGTCCCGCCGGCCTTGATTTCCTGCGGCATGGCGAACAGCCGGGGGGGGGGGGGGGGGGGGGGAGGGGGAGAGGCGTGGGTTAAAGGTGCAGCCCCGCAACTCCTCGCCCGTGCGCCACGCACTGGAAAGAAGAGGCCTCCCGTTCGACAGCGGTGTTTCTTTACTCTTTTCAAAGGGGAGGAGGGGGGCCCCTCCACTTTCGGCGATAAAACATCGGCAGTATATTTACTACACGCTTTAAAACAATGTTAACACCTACATGGGACTATCGTTCTTAATGGGAAAAGAACGGATAATAATTGTACACTGTAACATGATAACAAATGTATGTTAATAGCTTCAAAAAAAATCGCCATCATTGTCAACACGTGCCCTGGAATCTTCTCCAGGTGGTCTCCAGAGCCCGGAGGCAGCAGCACATTTCTTGTTGTATTGTTGCACATTCTCGGAAGTGTTAACATTTTTTTGAAAGCGCCCTGTACTGTATCTGTTTTGCCAGGTAAGACACCCCTGAGCTATGTAGCTCTTTTTCAGAAGCGACCTGGCCACGAATGATAGTTCAACGGAGTGGCTTGTCGCGTGGGCATTTATAGCGGCCAAACACTCTGAACGCGTGGCGATTCTAAATGTGTAGGGAAAAACCGGAGGACCCGGACAAAAATCCACACGACCACCAGGAGAGCGAACATGCAAACTTCAAATATACAGCAGCAGGCCGTCAGGATCGAACCCACGACCTCCAGTATAGCAAGCGAGGTAACTAACATCTCGCCACCGTGGCCGCCACACATTTTAAACCATTTGGGTTTGACAGCAGCACGACGACAATGATGATGATGATGGGGGGGGGGGGGGGGGGGGGTGTTTTCACTCTTTGTGTATCGTCAAGGGGCAGCACGTCTGGGGCCGCACTAAAGGCCAGCAAGGGCCGGCCAGTGGCCCTTGCGGGCCTTGCAATGAAGGTTGGTCTAAGAGAGCCCCTTCACGAGGACATTGTTGTGGCCTGCTCTTGCACACTGGCCACAACGTCTCGGAAGAGATGAGAGCAACCCCATTCGCGCCGCTGGGCGGGCAGACGCGGTGGGATTTTAAGAAACTCGCCCAGTTGTTTCAACCGCCGCGCCGGGAGATTGAACCGGCGACCGCTGGGTTGCGAGTGACCGCGGCCACCGTGGCGACAACCCGAATGACACGAGGGGGCGGGGGGGGGGGGGGGTAGCGATCTAACGAGGAAGTGGCCGGGCGGCTGGTTTATTTTTAGGAGTTCCTAACTCGCGCGGAGATAAGACCGGGGCGTCCATGTGACCGCAAACTCGTCGCCAATGTGTCTGTGCGTGTTGAACTTCCGTCGCACCGTACGTAGCCAACCGCGCTAATCGGAGGTGCGGGGGGAAGGACCAGAAACTGAACAGAAAAACTCGGTCAAGGAAAGCAAAACTGATACGTTCAAAAAGCAACACGGGCAAGACGGCTACGCAGGCAACCAACACACGCACCAACGCACCAACGCACCAACGCACGAACGCACGAACGCAACCGTAGCCCACTCTCTGCCTTTGTTTTTCCTCCCTCCGTAATTTTCTTTGACCCGGACCAACCACTCCCGCTTACCCCATACCCCGCCACCCCCCCCTCCAAGACGATAACAGCGATTGTCCTCCAGGTGCTCAAAGACCGTCGTCCGTCCCTTTGAGCCACGCGCGTGCCCACGGCACCGTCCGTTGGCCGTGCGCCCCGCGCCGCGAACCCCCCCCCCCCCCCCACCTTGGTGTCCTTCCGGCTCCAGAACCACCACCCGCGTCCGGGCTTCTTGGGCATCTTGTCCTTGACCAGCTTGTCCACGGTGGTCTGCGCGCCACGCAAAACGCCGCCGACGTCAACGCCGGCAACATGCTGCTTCTACCGCCACCGCCGCATCTCGGCGAGCTGTGCCGACTGAGGCCTCTCCCTCCCTCCCTCTCTCTCGTAGAGCGCTGACGGCCATCAAAGGAAACTAACGCCGAAGGAAGCGAACCCGGACCCCCTTGATCTCTTCGGCACCCCCTGCCACCTGACGTTCGATCGCACTCTTAGGCCCGGTAATGAGCAGCAGTGGAATGATCATTGCTGGCCCGATGCTGATGATGTAAACTCATTTCTTTAAAACTGCGTTATGTGTTTAGTTTGTTTTCCTTGCCTATACCTCCAATTAGCGCGTTTGGCTATGCACGGTGCGAAAGAAGTTCGAGATACATACATGATGACGAATAAATACTAATGTATGGAAAGCATCGACTTCTTCGTCATGATCATCATCATCATCAATGTCATCGAAGTCCCAAGGCTTTAATTGCTAAAACAGCTCGTTCAAACAGCACAACGTCATTTAGTTTTGTCGATGAATAAACCGCTCCCCCCCCCCTGCACACGATCTTAGAGATGTACACGAGGGGCGGAGGAAATACCTTGGGCAGTCCTTTGTGAAACGCCTGCATCGCCAGGATCATGGGTGCCGCCACTGCCCAGTTGTAATACCTGCACGGGGGGACAAGAACATCCGCTCACGATCGGAAGGTCGCGAGTTCAAAATTGCGGTTGGCCAAGCGGACCCAGTCCACGGTAAGATTAAAAAAAATTGTTTAGTTTAATCCGTATCTTTTTTTTTTAAGCGATTCGTTTACCTTCCCTATACTTTTCACTCCTGTCGTGTGTTTTGTATTTTTTTGTTGTTGTAACGTTCTGACCCGCCCACTTCTGGACATGTGATAAAAGAGCTTTACGGCTCATCAAATTCCACGGATATAAATATTCCGATTCTGATCATACTTCCGAGTTTTTTTTTTGCTGCCAGTTCAGTTGGCATGCGCTTGTCCGATGGGCCGACTCACTCTCCGGCCCCCCCCCCCTGCGCCCGCGCCCCCCGCCCAGCCATAAGAAAGAAGAATTTCCAGCACCGACTCGGGGGGGGTTGATGGCAGTGAGCAAGACACGAGTGCCAACTCGCGGACACGTTCACCCTTGGGCTCGCCTCGTGCTGCCCGTCGGCGGCGCGCTCCGACCGATAATGGCCGGGGGGGGGGGGGGCCTGCAAGGGAGGGGACCCCGAGCCGCTCGCGCCAATCACGGCTCCCGCTCGGGGGTCACCCGCTGACCCCGAGAGCCCGACGGCGGGCGCTGACGAGCGGACGCCAAAATCGTTGGGCTCTGAAGTGATTTACTGAAAGGGGCTCAGGCGAGGCGCACAAGGGGCTGCCCAAGGGGCGGGCGACGCCGACTCCCTCCAACGCTCCTCGTCACGAGTGAATTACGCGGCACTTTGAGACGAGTGTTAATCGCATTCCAATAAATAACGAGAGACATTGTTACCACCTCCCCCCGCCTCACTACCTCCCACCCCACCACCACCAACACGCCCCCCGCCCCCCCCCCCGCCGCCGCCCACCATTGTGCCAACTGCACCGCAAGATGACGAATCTCTCACTTGTTCTGTATTCTGATGACGAGGTTGGGGTCGTCCAGGAGGGCCGGGTTTTGGGTGAGGTCCGTGTACTGGATCACCCGCTCTTGGAACTTCTCTGTCGCGAGGATGAGGTTTGGTTTTTGCGAAAGACAACGACGATTACAACGAACAAAAAAATCAGAGGCTATTAAACGATGCCCATGCCGCAAAATAAACCAGCGTCCCGGCGGGCTCCGGAGTCCGGCCTGGTCGCGGTCACACGGTGACCTACGTAATGTACAAGTGTGCAAGGCTGGTATGTTCTTCGCGAGTTTTGCACACAATACACAAGTTATTACATACTATTATTAATAGTGTGATTCACATGCTAGGTGCATTACGCGTATGTATGTATGTATGCGTGTTGAACTTCTTTCGCACCGTACGCAGCCAACCGTGCTAACCGTAGGTGCGGGGGAAGGCCAACAAACAAAACATGAAAAAGCGGTGGTTGGCTACGTTACGGTGCAAAGGAAGTTCAACACACACACACACACGTATATATAATTAACATCCAAGGGCCACACCGGTACCAGTAGGCGGCCAACTGACACCAACAGCTGGCGCGCGGCTATAACGAGCGGTGTGGGCGGGCATCCGCACCTTCAGACACCTCGGCGTTGTGGCACAGCCCCCCGCACAGCGAGAGGCCCACGGATAGGGCGTCCGAGTCGGAGTCGAACTGGCACTCCGTGCCGCTGTCAACGGCGCCGCCGCCGCCGCCGCCGCCGCCGACGGCGGTGGAGCGGGGCGAGGGGCAGTCGGATCGCTCGCTTCTCGCGTCCGGCCCGCTCACGCTCCAGCGTCGGCCCAGCTCTCCCTCCCTGGGAGACGGTGGGCAGGAAGAGCGGCGGGGGCGTGGTTTCAGTTTCAGTTTCATTTATTAGGTATAGCCCTGTGACCCATGCGGCTCTTGACTCGGGTGCAACCGCAACAAACAAAAACATGAAGAAAGAACATCTTAAAGTAACTACGCGCACCAGAAAAATCCAGGAAAAAAACAGCAAAGTCTTCCAGAAAAAAACACCGTACATCAACGCTGTGTGCAGTAATGCCAGTGGGATACAAGTCAAACAATAACAACCATAAGACAATTTAGATTAAAGTTATCAGGCTAACTCTGTACTTCAACGGACATACATGGCTAAATCATACGTTTTCGAAATCACCAAAATAAAGTTATAAAAACAATGTAACAGTGACCATAGGAAATGTGATTCAAATTTAACAATAAACGATATACATAACATGGTGGAGGGGGGTGCAAGCGTGGAGAGGGGTTGGGGTGGGTTACAAAGTGTGGTGATCTCAGGGAAGGGAAGGAGGAGGTGGGGACTGGTAGGGTGGCAATAGGAGGCCGTGGGGAATTGAAGGGATGACGGTGAAAGGGAGGGTAGCAGTGGGTAAGGGAATGGTTGGGGTGAGGGGTAGAGCGGATGGTAGGTGAGAAGAGGGAGCAGGGCAGCAAGCGAGGAGTGGGAAGGAGCGGGCTATGGAGGGGAGGGGAGACAAGAACAGCAGGGGGTTATGGGTAACTAGTGATAACGTTACGGATACATGGCAGACACCAGACCTGTGTTCAGAAAGGTCAAATGTGTGTACATCCAAATCCACAGAGAGAAACATAATTTAGAACAGGTAAAATGAAAACATGATGATCGCCATGATGACGATGATGATTGTGAAGATAATTACGGTAATGACGACTCGCACTGATCATGCCGAGGACAACAAGAGTTCAGGCTCATGGCGATGACGACCACGATAATGATTGCGTCAACAGTTGGTGATGACAATGACCACAACGATGATGATGATGGTGATGATGATAACCGTTACGATGAAGGCAATGACACCAATCCCAACGACGATGATGTTGATCACAACGACGACGATGATGATGATGATATGACTATTGCCATGTTGACTATCATCATCATCAATCATCACAATCCATGGGCAGATAGCCCGTAGGTGCCCACTCCACATTTCGTTGATTATAACGATACAATATCGCGAGAGTCATCACAACAACACCAATTGCGAAATTACAAAAAAAAAACACAAAACACACGATGCGCAAAAGGTGGCAACGCATCACGAGTGGCACTCACCTCTTTGGGAAGTAGAGTTTGGCGACCTCGGGGTCAAGGGCGGTGAGGTCGTCGAGGTAGATGTCCGAGGGGCCCTGGTGTCTGCTCCGCTTGGATGCGTCTGCACGGGGGTGGGTGGGAGCAGCGCTAGACCATCGTTACGATCACAGCGGCGGCGGCGTCAGCCGACGCCATTCATCGCGGCCCCCCCCCCACGGGCTCCCGCGAGCGCTCGTGAAATGGGGCTCACCTTTCTTCTTCGACGACGACCCATTTTGGTCTCCGTCCTTCGCAGAAGACGGAGCCTTGGGCTCCTGGCAGGAGGCGGCGGCGGCCGCTGCGGCAGGCGGAACGACGCTCTCAACAGACTCGCGCGCGGGTGACTTGCCTCCCGCTGTCGCCTTCCCGTCGTCCGTCGCGGGCGTCGCGGGTTCCGTGGGCTCCGCGGGCACCGCGGGCATCGCGGGGGGCGCCGTGGCCGGAGTCTCGGTGCGACCGCCATCGTCGTCCTCCCGGCCGTCCATCCCGTCCTCCTCCTCCTCCTCCTCGTCGTCGTCGTCGGCGGGCAGGGGAGAGGCGCAGGAGGCATGGGCCGGAGACTCGGAGCCCGAGGCCGCGTGGCTCAGGTCGTCGGAGCCGACGAGGCCCGAGTCGCCGGGGTCGGAGGGGCACGGGGAGTCGGCGGGGGAGGGGCGCTCGCCCGCCGGCACGTCGGCGGACGCCGTCGATGGCGAGTCCACCGACTTCTCGCTCTTCTTGTACTGCCGAGGTCGCACAGCGTGGCGGGGGAAAACAAAACGAGCAACGGTTGTTTTTTTTCACAGCTAATACTAAAAACTAGTTTTTGTTTTACCAGGTAGGGCACACTGAGCTATGTAGCTCTTTTTCAGACGCAGCGTGCCCTCAAAGGATAGCTCAACAAAAAGTGGATTATCATCACGTGGACATTTGTAGCAGCCAAGTACTCTCAATGCACCGTGATTCCAAATGTGGAGGGAAAAACCGGAGGACCCGGAGAAAAATCTACGCGACCACGAGGAGAGAGACACCGCAAACTCTAAATATACAGCAGCAGGCATTAGGGTCAGAATCGAACCCACAACCCCCTGCATACGAAGCGAGGCAGTTAACACCTCGCCACCAGAATCCGCGGGCGTTTGCTGTCCAATCCATACGGGCCAGTCAAGCGGCTCAGCGGGAGAGTGAGAGGCTCGCAATCGGAACGCCACGCGCCCATCATCCCTCCGGGGTTAAATTTCGAGTACCACTCGGTGGGGGATGTCAACAGCGGTTGGGTCCTTTGGAGAGACTCGCCGCCACCAGAGGAATGTGGAATTGCCACCACTGGCTCAGCACTGTACACGTCAACGCTCACTGAAGCAGGAATTCACTTTCTTCTAAAACCACCTTCACATTGGAGCATCTTTTTTGTAAGAGTTGTCATGCGCCGCTGCCCATTGCAGACGGACTGACGGACAGGGCCAACACATTAACGCTCTATCTCACGACTACTTCTTGAAGTGACCCGTTCACCACCACACCTCGCCTCACTACTCTCGCCTTGCACTGAAGTTCATCGTAGAACCCCAGGCAGCAGCGCCACTCAAAATCTGCTTCGGACACCAAAGGTCTCGAATTGTTACAGCCTCACGTCACTGTACAATACACTACAATACATGCCACTATACACGACACAATAATATCCTACACTACAATACACTATACTGTTACAGCCTCATGTCAGTGCTCTGCTATCGCCCCATCGGTGTGGAACTCTCTCTAATCCCTTTGCACATCTGCAACATCGAATGCACTCTGACTTTCAAGAAACATCTAAAGGCCTCCTCTATCGGCCTGGGTCAGGCTTTCGAGCAGCCCTCGGCTTGGCTCCGTGCCTCCGAGTTGTTGATTTGCCTGCAACATCTGGCGCATTATAGATGTCATTATTATTATTAAGAGGCGTCGTCGATCAATCGTTGCAGCACCATGTTACCTTCGCGGCTTCTGGGAACTCGCCCCAAGTCCACCGCATGGGCAGCTCCGAGCGCATGGCGGCCTCCGAGGGCCGAGTCACCAGCTCCGAGTCGCTCTTCGGCGACGGCGCTCGGCACTCGTCGGGGCTGGAGGAACGGGGCGAGGCGGAAGCGGGGGGGGGGAACGCAAGTCAGCAAAGCGCGTTCCAAACACGGACCAGGGGGGTATGGGGGGTCCCCTTCGAATGTCTGACTTGAGATGAGACGCCGCGACGCTAAGGGGCCTCCGAGTTGCAGGGGCATTCAAGCGCCGTATAAACACAGAGATTATAATCACGATAATAAGAAGAATTTATGAGCGTTGTCAAGCGGGTAGGACAAACAGAAGTGCTGACCCCACGGATGTGCTCCACTCGCCGTCGGAGAAGGGGTGGATGGTGTCGCTGGAGTACAACGCAGTCACCGCGGTCACTTCCGGCCTGGACACCTCCAGGCTCGTCGGTCTGACACGCAGGCGCAAACAGAAGACGGCGAGAATTCACCTTACGAACGTCAGTCCCCCAAGCAGCGCTGATGCGCTTCTTCAAATCGATTTCCGTGTCGGGCTAAGTGACGGTCTCGGTCAAATGTCTGTCGGCAAGCCCATCAACCGCCGCGACACACAGCCAAGACAAAAAACTAAACCGTCGCCACGCGCGACGAGCCCTAAATGCTTTGACCTCTGACACCCAACACAATTCCAGGAAGCCATTCCGACTGTTTGGCTCTTCCTAACGACGTTTTGACGTCCTTCGGTGGTGACGGAGCCGAAGCAACAATCGGAATCGGAAGTTTATTTACCGAGGGAGGCCCACTGAGAGCAAAGCGGCTCTTCTTCAAGGGCGGATCGGCCGGCAGACAACACGAAACAATAATTCGGCGGGTCGTTAAACGCTCGTGCGCGTGAAGATTTCATTAAGTTTGGCTAATGTCGGGAGGTGGCGGAGGAGGTTCTTGCGGCAGAAATTTGGGCAGATAATCGCACGGGCTAGCCCAAAAAAAAAACACAATTACAAATTGTAATACTCGCTGGCAAAATGTATGCGTTTAGTGTTAAATATAGTCAGAATGTCATACTTCATACATAGTCTTAGCACTAGTCCAAGAAAACCCTGTGCAACTTTAATCGAGGCTCAATCGAGAGGGGTTTTTTCACATTCAGTTACAAACCCATAGGGATTCAAAGGTTGCTTTAGTGAGCATCTCAGTAATTGAGTGAGAATTTTGTTTACTTTTAAATCGACAAAATGTTCTGCTTTGGTAGACGGGGGAAGGGGACCAATAAAAACTTTATCTTCTTTAGATGTTTTTACATCGTGCCCCAGAAGACCACAAACGCGCGTGTTCACACCGAAGCACACGCGTGGTTTTTTTGACGATATCTGAGATAAGCTCATTACCGAACATACACTCCTAGGGTTGACATCTTCGCCTCTACGACCCCCAAAAACATGCGGCGGTCATAGGCGGCCGTTTTGGCAGCCGAGGTGCCTGCTATAAATTCTCTCTTGTAAGCAGCTCGAGCGGTTAATCCCAGGCATCGCACGCATGCATACGTAAAACAAAAAAAAAACTATTAACTATTTTTATTTTACCAAGTAAGGCCCACTGAGTTATACAGCTCTTTTTCAGAAGCGATAGCTCAACAAAGCGGGTTATCGTGTATGCATTTACAGCAGCAGTCAAATATTGTAAAAAAAAAACCCTATTTTTATTTTATACAGCTCTTTTTCAGAAGCGATAGCTCAACAAAGCGGGTTATCGTGTATGCATTCACAGCAGCAGTCAAATATTGTAAAAAAAAACCCATGTTTCTAAATGTGGAGGAAAAAAACTGGAGGACCCGGAGAAACATCCACGCGACGACGGGAAGAGCAACGCAACCTCCAAATATCCAGGCGTCAAAGGTCGGCGTCAAAACCACGACCTCCCGTATACCACGCGAGACAGTTAACATATCGCCACCGTGGCGCCCATAAATCCGATGTTAATTCAGGCGCTCGTCACATCCAGAGCTGGGCAATCCCGATTGTACAAAATCGATTACTCGACGCGATCATCGCAAGTTCTAGACACAGGTGAGACGGTCAACCCGTTCCAAGGTCGCGCGGCCCACCTCTGAGCGATCTGCCTCGGGGCCTCCTCGTCGGTGCTCATCTCCATCTCGAAGATCTCCCCGTCGGACGGCTGCTGCTCGCCCAGCTTCTTCATCTGCCCCCCCATCTCCGACCGCTTCCGCCGCTTCCTCCTCCTCTTGGGGGCCGAGCCGGGTGGCGCCGCGAAGCCGGAGCCGGATCCTGGATCGGCCAGCGGGAGACACGGGGAGGGAGGACGTTCCGCCCCCTCGCGGACGGCACCTTCACCGGCAGCCTGCCGGGGAAACAATAGCAGCGAGGACAACGATGGACACCGCGATCACGACCCACTCACAGTCCCGGATCACCACTACGCTACCGCTCTCCCCACACGTACACACACCCCCTATAGCCTGTAACAGACTGTTGGAGCAAGTGCTGTTAGCGAGCACCTATGAAGGACGGCACGGCACACGAGGGGGTGGGTGGCCAGCACCACGCCCGACCGCCTTTGTCTCCCCAGTGGTGAGATTTACTATACACTGCCCCAGGTACTCATTTGAAGCTGAGTGGAGCTAAGGGAGGGCCGAGAACCGGTTCGGATATTCATCGCTGATGTGGGCCGTGAGCGGGAATCGAACCCGGGTCGCCGGCTTCGTAGCATGGCGAACTATCCCCACCTTGGGTTAGGGTGGTTTATTGTTAATTTATTTCATATTCTTAGCTCTTTCGGTAAAGTCACGTTGAAGGGAAACAATAAAATAAATATAAAACAATAAAAATTCTCACGACGTTTCGACCATAACACAAACGGTCGTCATCAGGTGTGAAAAAACCAACGGCAAGAAACATTTGAAAGAAGTGGCGGTTTTGTATTTATTTATTTTTAAATGGTGTTATGGTTGAAACGTCGTGAGAATGTTTATTGTTTTATATTTATTTTATAATTTTATTGTTTCCCTTCAACGTGACTTTACCGATAGAGCTAAGAATATGAATTATTGCAGTGACGAAAGTTTTAAATCAAAATGTTAATTTATTGTTAATTCAAAAAACAAAGCTCATTGTGCATTAAGGGCGCTGTCCAATCGGTGGCACCGAATCTGAATCTTTACAGTTTAGAAGAACGATCTGACGGTCTGCCCCTGCGTTGCAGTCATCGATTCACCTCCTGCTCTCAATGTGCCGCTACAGTGATCACTCTGTGTGCGTGTTATAACTCTATTGTAGATCATCATCATCATCCTTTTCTTCCTCTTGGGATTCTCCCCACTCGTGCGGGGGTGGGGGGGGTCTACCATCCTGACGATTCTCTTTCTCCACTCATTCCCGCCCCCATCACGGACCACCTCCTTTCTGTGCGGGCGCCGAGACGCGCCGAACGTTACCGTTCCGCATCTCCAACTCGGCCGCGAGCCGGAAAAAAAAAAAATATAAACTGGCGCGTGACAATTCGACTCGTCTGGCCGTGCCGGATGGAGGAGGGCGGTTTCGCGGCGTACGTTTGCCGGGCGATCACGCATGTGGCCTTAACACACGAGACCTGATGCTGGCCGCGGAAACCCGGCGCGTTTGCGCGGAACGGCAGCGCTGCGGGAAAGGCCGCCGTGCGGTCACCTTGCCGAGGTGTGCGGCCATGAGATCGGCGCCTTCCGTGTTGATGGGCGACGTGGCCAGGTGGGCAGGAACCACCTCCTACATGACCAACACCAGCAGCAGTGGCATCGTCGTCGTCGTCATCATCATCAGCAACAGCAGCATCATCATCATCATCAGCGGAAACAGCATTACCCATCACCATCATCGTGGTTCGATTCAGCAATAGGAGTGGCATCATCATCATTAGCATCGGCACACAGAAGCAGCAGCATCATCGGCAATTATCGTCATCATCATCATCAGAATCAGCAGCAGCAACAATAGCAGTGTCGTCATCATCATCACGATCGGCAGCAAAAGCGGCGGCATCAACAGCAGCAGCAACAGCTGCAGAAACAATATGAAAACAGAAAGATCCCCAACGTCATCATCAGCAACAACAACAACGGTGCAACTAAACATTGACTGAAGCTCATAACACGAGCATAAGCAGCAGAGCCACGAGTTTCTGTGCGCCTCTGCCTAACTGCGTGACATGTACCGTTTTTACAGTCCTTCGGCACAAACACGCGGCACAAACACGCGGCGGGCCACGCCCGGCAAGGCGTGGGTGGCATGGCTACGGCGCGGTTACGCAACCCGGTAACCACCGAATTGCCGTTCATAAAGCTACAAGCGATAAAACCCACGGCATGCTCGTTGGCAGCCGCCAACTGAAGCAGGTGTAGCGGACCCGCGCTTGTGACCGAGACATTTGGGGGCAGCGGGTCGGAGGGTGTCGTTTTCGGAATCAGAATCATTTATTTATACTGGAGGAATCTGATGAGCTAGAAAGCTTTTTTTCACAGATGCCCAAAAAGCAACACAAACACACGATAGTCGTGCAAAGTATCGGAGAGGCAAACACATCGTTCAAAAACATCAAAATTAAACCCATTACATGATAGGAGTGCAAAGTACAAGGTAATCAAATCACCCTCAAACACATACAAATAAAACTCCCCATCATACCAGACAAAGCCCACCGAGGCATTAACTTATTTTTCAAAAGCGACCTGGGCCACAAGTGATCGATCTGCAAAGTTGCTTATCATTTACACATTTATAGCAGCAAAATAATCTGAAAAGTCTGAACGTACGTTTCTAAATGTGGAGGGATAAACCGGAAACGCACGGCCTACTCGCGCATTAAGTCGATGGGTTAGACGCGAACACGAATCTGCATTGCGTCATCACTGCCGTCCCAGCATGGATGAAAAAAAGTCAGGTCTGTCCCCGAGTACGTCCGACACCAAACTCCGGTAATTGTACGAGCTATTCTCTCGAATTAAGAAATGCGGACCTCCGAATGACAGTCCCAATAGGCTGACAGAAAAAAAACTTGTCAATTATCATTATTATTATTACATCAATGATTACCCAGATCTTAAAAAGTCTGTAATGTACACCCGAGATCATTAAATGCCCCGTGTGTGTCATCACTAAAGAATACCATAGAACCCCTTTTAACGACCATCCCTGTTAACGACTAATCGCTTAACGACAGGCCTCCATAGAGCCCAATGTGGTTCGCTTACCGACCATTCCCCTGTTAACGACGTGCTTACGATGAGCACGCGACTCTCAATATCGGCCAATCGGTGAGCTCCAAAGTAGTCTGACCAGTCCTCCCCCAATCAGCGACGTCCATTCATGAGCGTTGTCTCATTGTTTACGTTCGATGCTATCGGAATTAATTAAGCCTTTGACGTGTATTTCCTATACTCGCTGAACAACCAAATCACTCAACGACCCGTTTTGTCGAATCAACTACCGTCGTTAAAGAGGGGTTTTCTCCTGTAAAATTTCAGTTTTAGGTCCGTCAGGCCAAAATATGTTCTGGAGCAACGTTTCCCAGCGGCATTGGTTCGAGCTGAAAAACAAACGGGCTGGTTTCGACTTCTCTGAGTGGCATCAGCAGGAATGGGCCAGGTAAAGAAATTCCACAGGGTTGACGTGGCGCCGTCCATGAACACACCACGGAGGGCTGCTCGTCAAAGTTTTGGGGAAAGTTCATTCTTGTGGTCTTGGCAGACAGTGAGTAATTCAAATTAATTATTGTGGTCTTGGCAGACTGTGGGTAATAAAAAAAGTGAAAGACCAGACATGTGGTCTGTGTCACTGCCAGGAAAATATAGAAAAAAATAAAAATTTTGGCCGCTAGCTAACAGGCTTTTTGAACCAACGTTTTCTAGCAGCAATTAAATAAGCAGCAAACCGTGGGCTGGTTTCAACTTGTATGTGTCTCGTCAGCGGCCTTCAACAAATGAGGCCGGGTTGCCACAAGCAAAAAAGCTGTCCACAACCGATGAGAATTATTGGAAAATCGCCGCTTGGTCAATATCAAAGCGCCATTGTTTTCAAATATATATGACTGAAATCTTGATTCCTAATTAAAATTATAATTATCTGTCGCTTTGTATTGCTAATTGCTTTCAAGCTGTTTTGGTTTTATCACAAGGCTACGAAATTGATATTTTTTTTACCAATTGCCATTACAAAATAGGCGGCTCACCTCGTCACAATTATTAATTAAATATATACATATATTTTTTTTTCCGCCCAACAGATGGCAAGTATTATTGGACCGTCACGTGCTTAGGGAGATAAAGGAGAGTAATTAACTAACAAGTTCATGAAAGAGACAAGCAGTGTCAATGGGCCCCCAAATGAGTAATAACTAAAGTATACCGGTGACTGAATTCATGACTAAACAATTGGCTCTCTCAATCATCATGTGCCATGTTCAATCCGCTGCTGGATAGAGGCTTCCCCAAAATGCACCGCCATCTCCCGCGACGTCACTACGCGAATGGTGTTCTCACCCGGTTAGAAACAAAGTGCACGAATGAACGCGCACATTATGTCCCGACGAACTCTCGCCTGACCATGTATAAAAGACACCAACGAATTCATGAAGAAATTAATGAACGAGCGTTCGAACAGCGTGGAGGCCGGACGGCAAAAGTCCGTTCCCCTGCACGGCCCTACGCGGTGGGGGGCGAGAGGTGCCCAAGTCCCATCCCTGGGCCTTCAAAACGACACTTTGGCAATCGTGAGCGGGACGGCCTCCAAGCCCTCCGCTTACAATCCCTCCCTTTGTTCCCCGTGCCAGTCACCGGCAAAGGAATTCATCGGCGCTGGGTAAAACTGGCTCCCGTTGGGTGGGTTATTCGTGCTCGCGATTAGCGCTGTGCGGCGCACCCCCCGCGACGATGACTGGACCATCTGTGAAAAAGAGCTTTATGGCTCATCGGATTTCTCCGGTGTAAGTAAATATTCTGATGACGACAGCCGCCGCGACGCAGCCTTCGCGTCGATGCGTCGAGCGCCAAGGCCGCGTCGGTAGGCGCATTAACGACTCCGCAAATTAATGTCGTAAAAATTCTGCCATTTTATATAAGCGCTTTTGAGACCCGTATATATTTTAGCGAATCTGACATCGGCGCAGCTGTGGCTCAGCGGCAGAGAGAGGGGGCACGCAAGGGGAAGATTGCGTGTTCATATCCGGGGTTTAATTAAAACGAGCGTCAACTTTGCAGGGAAGTCAACAGCGGTTGTTCTGTGGGGGAGACCCCGTCATAGGAATGATTAATTTCCACCACTGGGTCACGGTTACAAACAAAAGTTGAGCACATTGAGTGGAACGCATCTGTTCAATGGCGTAAAATAGCCTTTGAAAGTGTACACGCATTAAACTGTTTTCTTCTTTCATACGGCTGATATAGATGCAGAGCAGCAACTACAATTTCACATGCAGGTGGTCAAGCCCAGGTAGCCGTGTCAGGAGCAGCGTAGTGTATTGCTGTGATGTCTCCTTCTTCGTATTTGTGGATAGGGGCATGATTGCGTCGTTACACGTTGTACCGTGGTCTGTTCTGGATGACCACAGTCGCACCACTACTACTGGAGGGTTTTTTATTTTCCATTTGAGCATCAGGTGTCCGCATCCACCGCCATGGTCTATGCAGTGGGATGCGATTCAGGGTGGACTACGAACTTTGTGGAAGATCAAACCCTGGGAACTTTTGGGTCGGGACTTTCACAAAGTGTTTGTTTGCGAGTTCAGTTTTACTCCAATCAGTTCTGCAGGTTCCATCGGGGGTTGAATCCGCATTGCTTAAGGTTCAAGCGCATAGGTCCAAAATGGGCTTGTGTGACTTGCACTGTCACGTGCGTCGTCTAAGAGGCCGATGCGGATCAAGATTTCCCGGGGGGCATGTGTCGACTGACGTGCCGAGCCGTGGGAAGGTGTTTTAATGCGGCTCTCACCCCATCGTCGTCCGCTTCCTGCACGAAGAAAGCCTCTCCGTTGTCCCCCAGCTTCATGTGCAAATCCACCGGCTCGCCATTGATCTCTATGTCAACCTGCGCACACAATGCAACGGGGGGGGGGGGGGGCGAGGTTTCAACTGAAAGAACTGAAACAACAGGAAAGAAGCGTCCACTGTGCTGCTGTGTAGCTCTTCTGGAGAAGCGACCTGGCCGTCACAGATGATAGCTCAACCAAAGTGGCTTATCGTCATCTGGAAATTTAGAGCAGCCAAATACTCGAAAATTATTTGTGTGACGTTTATTCTAAATGTGGAGGGAAAAAAAACGGAGGAACTCGGAGAAAAATCCACGTGACCAAAGGGAGAGAGAGACACGCAGACGCCAAATATACAGCAGGCGTCACAGGGTCGGGATCGAACCCACGAACTCCTGCACACCAGGCGAGGTAGTTAACATTTCGCCCACCCTGATTTGTCTAAAACAGTCAATGACTGACTGTGTTACGGCTTCGGTTTTTCAACCTTCTGCCAGTGTAATTTCCCTAACGTGGTGTTTCACATCAAGAAAAAATGTGGTCGTATTGATCAAGCGACTGATTAATCTCACGCATTTCCTTGCAGGGAACCGAGACGCTGTATGAATCATTTTTTACGAAATATTTTTTACGAAATACGGGGTTTTTGGTACTTTGGTTGAGGCCCAGTTCCCACGGGCGGATTCCAGGCGTGAAATGTCCCCCCCGCCCCACTCCGATTTGCTGGAGAGCAGTTAAGCTTTCAGAGAGCTGTAAACGATCTCGCGATGTAACCAACGGCGATCATTTGCGATGAGTTTTAAGCAAAAGCAGAACCGAAAAAGCAGAAGTTCCGGAAAGAGGAGTGGAAGGTGAGTGGAAGGTGAGTGACGTCGCAGTGACACTTAAAGAATTCCTGATCGAGGAGGATATTCTAAAAGCAAGAGGGATTCTTTTTTTTATTTGTTAACTTTTTTGTTGTTATTCAACTGCCCTGACGTTGACCAATTGAACTGGAATGCACCCCCACAACCTCGTCGGATCTCAGAAGCTAATCGGGTGCAAGCATGGATAGCGCTTGTATGGGCATTGTGGGCAGGCAGTGCAGCAACATCCTTTGTTGCACTGAACTTCTATGCTCCCGGATGTATGCTGTCCACATTCATAAACCTGCACTGGCAAGCGTGGTGCTGAAGGCTGGTCCAACAGGCCACGTGCTGCCAGGTCACAGTAATCTGTCTGGTAGCTACACACGTGAGCTAGATTCATCGTTCCATCTCCTCGGCCCACGTGCTCTTCGGGGTGTTCTCTTCTTTGGCTGCCACTCCACCACCATCACCGTCACCACCGCCGCCGCCACCACCACAACCACGACCACGACCACACCACTGTCACCACTACCACCCCAACGCCGCCACCACCACCACCACACCACTATCACATCCCCACAACGACCACATCCGCTACTGCCACCAGCACTTTCACGATACCACTCGACATGCAACCACTACCGCCACACCACTACCGTGACCACCACCACGATCATATCATCAACACCACCACCACCAACAACAACAACCATTCTTCACCCAAGCGGTGGTGACGTAACCACGGCGCTTGTGCCAGGCTAGGTGCACTTTGAGGTGCACTTTGAGAAACACTTCAAAGTCCACCACCACAATCACACCACTATCACGCCACCACCACAGCCATCACCGCGCCCGCCACCGTGCCCGCCACCACCCCTCGCGGACGTGCAGCGTACGTACGACTTTCTCCCGCGAGCGCAGCACGCCGAGCTTGCCGAAGCGCACGTGGAACGGGGAGCATTGGAACGAGCCGTCGGCGTGGCGCACCACCACGGCGTCGATGCAGCCGGTCAGCGTGGCCGGGTTGAGCTCCTTGTAGAGCTCGCGCGCCGTCACCACAACCTGCCCCGCCAGCTGCCCTATGTAGTTCATGGTCTGCGCCTGTAGCACACGCAGAGGTGGGGGAGGGGGGGGGGGGCGGGGGGGGGCGTGTTAGGGCAACGGCCAGGCGTGCTCGCGATCGGAAGGGGATCGCGCGGGGGTTCGAATCCCGGTTGGAGTTGGTGGACTAGGCCAATCATCCCGCTCTCCGGGGTCACACCACTTCGTGGGTAAGTCAACGGCGGTTGTCCAAAGCAAAGACTCGAGTCGCCTGGCTGCCCCCCAACCCCCCAACCCCAACATGGGAATGTGGAAATTCCACCGCTGGCTCAGGGCTCAGGAGATGAGCAACGCCTCCACCGCCTTCTCGGTGCTGTTGGTTTGAGCAGGGGAACAAGTTTGACGATAGCTGTAATAAGTGGCCCACGGGCTCCTTACAAATTCTATTTTCTATTTTACCAGGTAAGGCCCACTTGAGCTGTATAGAGCTTTCTTCAGAAGCGACCTGGCTGTCACAAATGATAGCTCAACGAAGCAGCAGCCAAATATTCGAAAAGCACGTTGATCATGAATGTGAAGGGAAAAACTGGAGGGCCCGGAGAAGAATCCACGCGACCACGGGGAAACACGCAAATTACAAATATACAGGCATCAGAGTCGGGATCGAACTCACAATGTTCTACATACAAGGCGGGGCAGTTAACATCTCACCACCGCATTCGGCCTGCGAACATGCGCACGCAGCCGTCACAAGCAGCAGGGCTAAATACGTGCGCGGGATTACAGAGCCCTTATAATACCGCTACTTTTTCCACCGTTCTGCCCTGGACGTTACCGGAGACACAAAGCAGCAAGGCGGGGGGGGCACGGTACGGGGCGGGGGGGGGGGCAGGGGAAGGTGGGGGACAAGCTTTGGCAGCCAACACCAAGGGCTTTTACCGGGGCGAGCGTGAAGGGACAGACACCGGCCCGGCAGCGCGGACTCGTAACTAACTGCCAGATGAACTTCGGCACGGATGCGGAGCGCGGCGTTTCATAACCGCTGCCCTCGCAGCCAGCTTCTAGAAATAAACCACTTTGTGGGACCACTGACAAACCACGCCACGCGCCACTACCATGTTTCCTTGCCGGGAAAATTCCCGGCAAGGAAACATGGCTTTTCCGTGGTTGTTTTGTCGTCGCGGTCGCGACAATCGTGCCACTGCCGGCGGGCTTGCGGTCCATCTACAGGCGGAGTCGAGAAAAAAAACGTTGCGAATTGGAGCAGAGAATGGTGCATCACCCCGTGTCGGGATGGGCCCTCCCACCCCCCTCCCACCCACCTTACACCCGTAGGATGAATCTCATCCCACAAGATGAGCACGCGGTTTGATTTGCTGTGCTCTGACTTTCAGGTAGAGAAGCTGCAAATGAGCGACAATCCCTTCATGTTGTTCATCCCAAGAGAGCAATAATAATAATAATACTTATGAATTCAGCGGCAAAACATTCAACGCGATTTGTTTTTTATGCAGACATTGAGAAACAAGCTGAGATCATGAACCTGCACACACTCGACAACCAGATTTTTAAACACGGCCAAATGAAACCTGGATTCACGCACCAGAATCTCCACGGTGCAGGCTCAGTGTCTCCAACGCAGCACAAAGTGGCCGAAGTGAGCGATCATTCGGTTCATTTCACGGTCATATGCCAGGGAAAACGATGCATTAAAACCAATCAAAGCGTCGATTCGTTGACGATTTCAAATGTGGCGAGCGTGGCCAATACGATGACACAAGCCGAACGTGGGTTTTCACGTTTATCCCGAACATCTATAAAAATCGTGCCCTATACAAGTGTGCGGCAGACGAGCTTGCATATCGCCGAGCTCCCGATTCCCAAGCCCGAGCGTACAACGGGCTCACCCGCAACCTGACAGCAGCCTCGGCCAAAAATAAAACCGCATATGTACACACGCGACAACAAAAAATCCGACTGCCACCGTTTCAAAGATGTAAAATAAAACGCTCGAAAGGAGCTACTGTAATTAACCCGCCCCCCCCCCCCCCAACCCGGCTAAATTGACGTCACACGATCACACGATCGCTCGTTACACAAACCGCACACGGCCAGCAACATCCCCCCCCCGCCACCCATAGCCGCCCGCCCCCCCCCGCTGGAGGATGTGGCTGTCAATCAGGGGGTGAACTTTAGAGGGAAACAACACGGGGTCACAAGTGTCCCCCCCTTTTTGGCGCGTGCGAAATTGACCGACGTGCCCCGGCGTGCAGCGAAGTCGCTCTGCAAATTTCGGTTTGAAGGGGCAACAACAACAACAAAAACTGGTAAAATAAAGGGAGATACGACGCAAAATGTGTTAACGCATATCGCGTTAATTATTAAGTTAATAATTGCGTAAATAATACAATTAATAATATTAACGAGGAGTTTCCTTTATAGAGCGTGAGATGCGAAATAAAAGGTATTGGGTCAATGAGGAATGATGTGGCTGCCTTTGACTTCATCATCATCATCAGAATCTTCATCAGTAGCAGTATAGTCACCAGCAATAGAAGCAATGCAATACAGTTTGCGTCGCTGTGGCGAATATAAATAACCAATGTAAATAAACATTTACTCTAGAACTTATATTCAGGACGATGGGAAGTAGTTTTGTGACAAACTTAGGCCTGCATCTAGCAGAGTTGTCCTTGCCTCCAAACGGCTGGCAGTTCCACTTGAATTGTGATTTGGAATGACCTCAAAATTGCCAACTCCAGAGGCGATGCCGCATTGGCAGTGGTGCACACCCACAAAAGTAACAAACTCAACCGCTCTTCTCTTGCACTTGAGAAGAAAGGCTATTGCCTAAAGTATACTTCAGCATTATTGACAAATGCGCTGAGTTGTATTTATGTCACTACACAGAAACGCTGCGTGTTCTATTCCATGTGGTACGCGTTGGGGGGGGGGGGGGGTTGTGGCCGTCAGCGCGTTTTTTTTTTATTGCAACAAAAGCCAGCGGGTGACTTTGACCAAAATCACACGGAATGCGTCCGATCTCGTCTGATCTCGAGCGCCAAGGAGATTCAAACCTCCGATAGGCGCGCAGACGGGTGGCCACCAAAACGCGTCGTGTCCGTGAAAATGGAAACTTGCCAAGGCATCGTTGATTCGTTGCGTCTCTCTCAACCGTTTTCATTAATGTCCCCAGGCGTACAAACACTTAATGACTCTGCTGCACCTGACACACAGACAACTGGGATATTTGTTACTGACACCGCAGTCGCGTGGAGTCTGTCTTCATCAGCGCTATGCCGTTTATTACTGGTCATCTCTCGTCTTAGTAGCGGAAGGAAATTCCTCATTCCTATTGCAGGTGCGAGTTAGTAGATCAGAAGAGCACGCTGCTTATATACGTTTGTAGCCCCGTACTAGTCGGCGCGTGGCACGGTGCGCCCGGAGACCTAGGTTCTAACCCCGGCCCACGGCCAACATCAGTGGCGAGCGAAATGCACAAAACCGGACCTGACAAACCGCTCCACCAACCCGCACCGACAAGAGCGGTGAAGTATGGTCAAACAGCACCCATAGCTGACACAGGATGGTGAAGTATGGTCAAACAACACCCATAGCTGACGCAGGATGGTGAAGTATAGTCAAACAACACCCATAGCTGACACAACATGGTGAAGTATGGTCAAACAACACCCATAGCTGACACAACATGGTGAAGTATGGTCAAACAACACCCATAGCTGACACAGTATGGTGAAGTATGGTCAAACAACACCCATAGCTGACAGCATGGTGAAGTATGGTCAAACAACACCCATAGCTGACACAGTATGGTGAAGTATGGTCAAACAACACCCATAGCTGACAGCATGGTGAAGTATGGTCAAACAACACCCATAGCTGACGCAGCATGGTGAAGTATGGTCAAACAGCACCCATAGCTGACACAACATGGTGAAGTATGGTCAAACAGCACCCATAGCTGACACAACATGGTGAAGTATGGTCAAACAGCACCCATAGCTGACACAACATGGTGAAGTATGGTCAAACAGCACCCATAGCTGACACAACATGGTGAAGTATGGTCAAACAACACCCATAGCTGACGCAGGATGGTGAAGTATGGTCAAACAACACCCATAGCTGACACAGGATGGTGAAGTATGGTCAAACAACACCCATAGCTGACACAACATGGTGAAGTATGGTCAAACAACACCCATAGCTGACACAGCATGGTGAAGTATGGTCAAACAACACCCATAGCTGACACAGCATGGTGAAGTATGGTCAAACAACACCCATAGCTGACACAGCATGGTGAAGTATGGTCAAACAACACCAATAGTTGACTCAGGATGGTGAAGTATGGTCAAACAACACCCATAGCTGACGCAGGATGGTGAAGTATGGTCAAACAACACCCATAGCTGACACAACATGGTGAAGTATGGTCAAACAACACCCATAGCTGTCACAGGATGGTGAAGTATGGTCAAACAACACCCATAGCTGACACAGTATGGTGAAGTATGGTCAAACAACACCCATAGCTGACACAGTATGGTGAAGTATGGTCAAACAAGACCCATAGTTGACACAGGATGGTGAAGTATGGTCAAACAACACCCATAGTTGACACAGTATGGTGAAGTATGGTCAAACAGCACCCATAGCTGACACAGGATGGTGAAGTATGGTCAAACAGCACCCATAGCTGACAGAGCATGGTGAAGTATGGTCAAACAACACCCATAGTTGACACAGTATGGTGAAGTATGGTCAAACAAGACCCATAGTTGACACAGGATGGTGAAGTATGGTCAAACAACACCCATAGCTGACACAGGATGGTGAAGTATGGTCAAACAGCACCCATAGCTGACACAACATGGTGAAGTATGGTCAAACAACACCCATAGTTGACACAGTATGGTGAAGTATGGTCAAACAGCACCCATAGCTGACACAGGATGGTGAAGTATGGTCAAACAGCACCCATAGCTGACACAGCATGGTGAAGTATGGTCAAACAACACCCATAGTTGACACAGGAT